GTTTGTCTGATTGAAATAATAATCTTCCCCACACTAAAAATTACCATTTGGGGGAATACTAAAATATCTAAAAGTGTTCAGACAAACTGAGTAGGTCAATTAAACCCTATTAAACCCATTCAACCCTATAGACCCCACATGTTCATACATGTTCTACCTATAGATACCCATCAATTCATCTGAATTGCCTTTCTGCCATAAACCCATTTTCAGACCATCTCTCCTCATCAGCTCGGTGCCTGTAGGATGAGAGGAAGTGGATGTGATTCAGTCGAGCCGCCGCAAACCGCTTGAAAGATTCGTGGCAACCTGGGGCCGGGACGACTGGGGGGTTCCCTAAGTTGGATGATTTGGGGGCACCCCCATGACTTAGGAAACCTCCATATCATCAACCATAAATTTGGGAGTGTAATTAGCCATAAATAATAGTAATCAATTATATATATATATATAAGCATATTTGTTGGGGTGAGAAAAAAAATCCCCCGAACTAAGATGACGACCCAGCTATGAGCTATTCTCGGGATCTGGATTTCAATTCATTGGATGGCTTGTTTAATTTACAGCGACATTCCCACCCATGAATCCAAAAACCTCGAAACAGTGGTCAGTCGGGGGTCTGCAACAATGGTACCAACATATTGCCCACCGACCGATCGATTTTTTGATGTGGGGGGCCACAATTTTTTGTTTCCATCAACATGTGGGTGTTATTGGTTTAATCATCCCGTTTGGAACGAATAATAAACAACAAATTGGGGATCCTTGACTAGTGTGGATCACACATTGGTCACAGTTCTCTCCCTAGGTTAACCAGCTTTGAAATTCATGGCTCATGCAGGGTGGAGCCCGCAAACGATGGCAAAGTTGGTTGAAGCAATAACTAGTTTATGGTGTATGGTGGACATGATATCTATATATATATAAAGCATTCTGTAGTTAATAGGGTTATAAACCAACGATCATGACCTTTGGGGCACCATCACACCCGTCTAACAAGAACTGAGCCCCCCAGCGGCTCCCATAGGTTGTCAGGGATTGGGGAGGCACAGAAGGCTGTGAGGTGTGCCAACCTCATTCCACAGCTCGGGTCCGCAGCCCCTGGGCTCAACCCCCTATATTTCAACCAGCTGGCCGTTGTAGCTCTGGACTCACAACAGCCACAGCTCACTGAGTTTTCAGCACTTGCAGACCGTCCTCCAGGAAGGCGACACCCTCAGCCTGCAAGGAGTGAAGCACCACAGGCAGCAGGGGTTCTGCCTCGGTCTCGCGGCCATGTGCGTTGCCGTGGGCCATGGGGTGTACGGACGGTAATGGCATGTTCTGGTATGTAGATGTATATACCAGAGGGTACCTCTCCACTATAAATCACCATTTTCAATAGGAACATGCCATATTCAATATGTATAGAAGTGTCAGAAGAAGAAAAATGCGGCAGCCCTAGTGCCCTGGGACTGGCACCAAGCTGGCAAACAGAGCGCATCGCCGCTGCTGCTCACGAGGATCCTGCTCACCAGTCCAACTCCTCCCCACCCCAAATGGGGCCTATTTTTGAGATAACTGCTGGCAAATGCACCACAAGTCCCACACAGCTGGCAATTGCTTTACCCAAAACTGGAAGATGCCCAGTTTTTGTGGCCAAAAATGCGAAAATATACGCAGATCATGATCAATCAACCCTGAAAAACGCAAACAACATGTTCAGGCAATCCCAGTTTTTTTTAACCCATCGAAGGTTGCCCCTTCGCTTCGGTGGCGGCGGCGGCGGCGGTGGCACGCGCGGCGGCGTGGGCGGCAGCGTGGGTGACGAGACACTGGGTTGCCAGCGATCGGGGCTGCCGCTGTTGCGCTGGTCGGCTTCTTCCCTTTGGCGCTCCCGTCGGGCGTTGTCCTGCGGTGAGCCGCTGTTGCGCTGGTCGGCTTCTTCCCTTTGGCGCTCCCGTCGGGCGTTGTCCTGCGGTGATGCCCCCAGCTTTGTTGGTTGCTTTAAACCCCATTATATATATATATATATAATTATATAGAATATATATCATATATAGATATATTTATACATATATAACTATATAACTATATAACTATATAACTATATAACTATATAACTATATAACTATATAACTATATACATATACATATACATATATACATATATACATATATACATATATACATATATACATATATACATATATACATATACATATATACATACATATATACATACATATATACATATACATATACATATACATATACATATACACATATATACATATACATATACATATACATATACACATACATATACATATACATATACATATACATACAACTATAACTATAACCATAACTATAACTATAACTATAACTATAACTATAACTATATACATATACATATACATATACATATACATATACGTATACATATACATATACATATACATATACATATACATATACATATACATTGTATATATATATACATATACATATACATTGTATATACATATACATATACATATACATATACATATACATATACATATATATACATATATATATACATATACATATACATATACATATACATATACATATACATATACATTGTATATATATATATATAAGACCTATCTACCATAAAACATAGTTAACCTAGTTGTGAGCCAATTTAGACATCTGGGGGGGCCACCTTGCAGGACTGCTGGCCCTGGTGAGGCCTTCCCGGCCCGATTCCAAGGAAAATCCTTCGGTAGCTGCCCTACCTTCATCGCCTGGAGCTCCATAACAAATTGCCTCATCAATAGAACCTGGGAGGAGATAGATCCAACTGCGATGATGGGATATTTTCTGGGTATTATGTGTTATATATCTTATTATATTATACATGGCTAAGGGGGTTCTATGTGATATTTGTGTAGGTACAATGGAATAGGGATTTTCAATTGGCTGTATATACATGGCTTATGCGTTGGTAATGGGTCGCAAGGTACGGTGTATGGAGCTGGGCGTCCAGCCTCGGGGGAGAGCCTTGCGCACCTCTCGCCTCGGCTCAAATCAATGGGTGTCATTCGGAAAAATTGCATGAAACCATGGGTTTTACTGTACCAAAAAAAAGATTTCCTTATGATTTCCCTACTTCCCTATGATGTCATCAAATATGAAGTTTTTCCGCTGATTTTCCCGCCAATTCTTGGATCAAAACGTTGATCCCTCAGCTCCCAGCAGACTGGTTCAAGCATGTTGGACTGCGCCTGACGCAATGTGTCGCATGATGCCGCAGGTTGGGGTGCAGGTTGCACACCCTTGACGCCCCGATGAAGACCAAAATAGCCGCAGACCACAGTTGGCTGAAGAAATCAACTGCTGTCAGTGTGTCTTCTTGAACAAAACTCACTATGTATGGTACATACTTTTTCCTAGCTGAAGTGGTTTGATCACAGCAGTCAGGGGGTTGAGGAAACCAGGGAAAGTGCCATCCCGACAGAAAGTCAAACTGGAAGTGACTGGAACCAGTTGAACCCGTGGCCAATAGTTCAAAAGATATCATGTGGACTGTACTGGGTTCAATGGATGGTATTTCCCCACTAAACCAACTCGTCCACCGACATCACTTCTGGATAATGTCACATTTTGGAAAGTGAAATCCGGCATTTTCTTGGCATCTTAAGTCGCCATCTTGATTCCACCATGGGCAGGTGAACTCCCCGTCGCATGTTCGTGTCAACTGGTGGGTCAAAATATCAGACCTGGCCTCAGTGAATTTCAACTGATTCCCACGGATCAATCGATAGATCTTGGGCGCTACGGGATCTTCCACTTTCTCCAAGAAGGCCTCAGCAATTGAGTTTTGTTTCATGGTTATAACCAACCAGTTTTTTCACCATAAGATTTTATGGATATATATGGGGTATATATATATATACACACACGGTATATACGTGTATATATATATATATGTGGAATATAATATTAATGGGATCCTATAGCTAGAAGTTGAGGATATATGGAATTTTAAAATATCTTTTCATACCACTAGTACCGCACAAGGCGGTGGCGGAAGTTTCAAAAATAGGAACCCTGTAGGAGCGGTTGGTTGTTGTGAATCACGGATGGCAGACCGAAGCCACTGATGGACAGAAAGGTGCTTGAGGTCTCCTCTCTTTCTCTCTCTTTCTCTGACTATCTACCTACCTACCTACCTACCTATCTATCTATCTATCTATCTAATCTATCTATCTATCTATCTATCTATCTATCTATCGATCTATCTCTCTACCTGTCTACCTATCTATCTGTCTATCTGTCTATCTGTCTATCTGTCTATCTGTCTATCTGCCTATCTGTCTATCTGTCTATCTGTCTATCTCTCTGTCTGTCTATCTATCTGTATCTGTCTATCTGTCTATCTGTCTATCTGTCGATCTATCTATCTGTCTATCTATCTATAGACTTCCTCAATTTTCGAAGTTGACAACATCAAAAACGATACAATTCTGCGAGACTTCCTTCAAAAATGGAAAGTTGAGTGCAGCGCTGACGGCCTCGTACCAATGCGTTTTGCAATTTTTCCACTCCACCTGTCTAAAGTACTGCGCCTACCACGAAAAATTGATGCCAGGTCATACGAAGTGCTGCACCTGTCACGCAAAATCATCTTAGCAAACCTACAGATCCAAAATGCAACCCCTCTCAGGAAATCAGCGCCCTGACCTCCTAACATCTCCGATGAACATGTCTTTTGTACTGCGCCTGCCACGCGAAATGCATCTTTGCAGATCCTCTTCAAATGTCCCACACCTGCCATCGTTTTTGGAAATGCTACAAAACCCTCACGTTTTTCTCACTTTTGAGAAGGTGCGCAATCCCTTGCGCCTGCCACGCGAAACGACATCTGAACGTCCAAAAGTGGTCCGAACCCCTGGTGCTTTTAACATTTTGACTTCGAAATGTGCTTCGCGCCACAACAGTGCGCACTTTTTCGACATCTCAACTTCCAAAAGTGGTCCGAAGCTGAAGTGCTTTGTACGTTTTGACTTCGACATGTGCTTCGCGCCACAACGGCGTGCACTTTTTCGACATCTCAACTTCCAAAAGTGGTCCGAGCATGGTGTGCTTTGTAACTTTTCGACCCTCCGGAGCCACAAATCATTGGAAAAACATAGCGTTTCGCGGCTTTCCTACCTTTTCGCGCATCTGCATCTTCTTTCTTCTGACTCTTTCTCTTCTCTGATCTTCTCTCTTCTACTCTTCTCTTCTCTCTGACTCTTCCCATCTCTGCTTTTCATCTGTCCATATTGTCGGAAGTTTGACTTCTAAACTTCCTTCGATAAGCATAGGATTTTAACCCCTATGAGTTGGGATATATGGGATATGGGTGCCCTATAAGTATGGTCAACCATGGCTGCAACTGCGGGCAAATGTTCGTAGACCGTTCAATTCAATAGAGGCAATTGTCCAAAAGGGGGAATTCCCTTGAGATGTTTGGTGTGCAGAGGGTAAACATGGGATGCTTTTGTCAGGAAAAAAGTGGCAGTAAAGCCATTAAGCGAAAGAAACAAAGTAAAAAAACAACAGGAAATCCGAGGGTGTACCAAATTTGGGAACTCAAAACCAGTACAACTTTCAGATCTTGACATTCAAATATCAAGGACAATAAAGCCACCGTGTCACAGCCTGGTGCTGTTGCAATGTCCAGGCACAGGATCCATCACAATGTCAAGGAGGACATTGGGGTCGAACTCTTTGACCGCCAGCCTCTTGAAGGCTTTTGCCAGCCATTTCAGTCTAGCCTGGAAGCTGAACGGAAGCTGAACGGAAGGAATTCAGCCAAGAAACACGTGAAGAGTTGCAAGGTGCAACCCCTTGTTTGACTATTTTGACTGGATGGTTACAGTATTTAAAAGAGAAACAAACAAACAAAAAAAAAAAACATCACTTCCATCTAATGCAGCATGGGTTTCGTGTGCCTCTGGTGACATCTGCAGGACGTCTCCTTTCTTGGCTGTTGGAGCGACCATTGGGGTCCTCGGCAACTGGGAAGGGCGACAATCCCTCTGCAGGTGAAGCCCCCAGGGCTGGAGGTAAACTCCTCATGTTCAGACAAACCCACATGTCATATAATTATTAGGTGAATGAAACATGGTCCGTAAAAATATCCACATTATATATATATATATATATTATTGTATTCAAGTTATATGATATCAATTATATCCCGTTACTGTACTGTAATTATGGTTGGTTAGTTCTTTGTCCGATTTAACTGCTGCTTCATGCCTTCGGAATCCCACCTGGAAGATGCCGCCATGGCCGGTCCCGATGCTTCGCCATGGTTAAGACAGGAATCGTGCCATTTTCAGAAAGAGAAAGATTCTCATATGCTTGGGGATCATTGGCTAAAACCCTCATCAATTGGATCCGTAATATGAAACAATGAAACAAACCTCAGGTGTTTTATGGCTTCGTAATTTGTCACAGTTGCTCATGTGAAAAACAAAAGCTATGAACCTTGGGGTCCTGGTGCCGTTGCTGTGATCTTTGGTCCCAAGCCCCTCCGAAAGCTGATGCCAACCCAAACCAAGGATTCAAATATCAGGTATTCCTATCACAAACTGTCAGCCTATCTTTCAGTCTGATGGAAATCTGAAAAGGGCGCAGATTGATGCAAACTCCAACTTTGATCGAAATGTCTGTGTGTCACAAAATGGGAGTTTCCTCAATTCCCAAAGGATCTTCGCTATGTTTCCATGTTAATGGCCATTTCCTGGTGTCAAATGCGAAGCTCAGTGAAGCATCTTTTGTTTCTTCCGAGGCCCTGAAGTGCTGGCGGCTCGCTTCCTGGTGTCATCCCACATGGGGGAGTATAAGTCGTAAGATGTCAAACCCTCTGGTAAACTATCATAACTATGGGAAATCACCATTTTTCATGGGAAAATTCACTATTTCTATGGTGATTTTCCATAGTTATGTTATGTTAGTTTGCCAGAGGGTAAGTGAATTTGAGCCATATCCACATCATTCTGCTTCATAAGCAGTTTTTGTCCAAAGCTGAAATCACATGTAGGCAAGTTTAGTCCTCCCACCAGATTCATGAAGTGGCTGGTGGCGACTTTCAAATGGTCCACCAGGGTTCCTGCAGCATTAGAACGCCGGGTCAAATGTCAAATCTGCTCTGCATTCTTGTGAAATCCCAAGACAAAGATAGAGTAAAACTCTGTGAAAACATGTGCAGTGGAAGCAATAGTTTGGGATATCTCCTTACCGACTAAGAGCAAATGGTGGTGAATAGAAGGCCCCATGTACTTCAAATTTGGTCTTAAAATAGGGTATCCCATGGAATTCCAATGGATTGTCCTCTTCATCAATTTTTTTTTGTGGCTATCCCATGGCTATCCCCATGGCAGAACCCCCTGTGTTGATCCGCTGCGGTCACGCCTTGCATGCGAACAGCGCCGCTCATGGCACTTGACCCATCGCCAGGTGAGGTTCACACGGGGCGAGGTGGAGTGCTCCTGGGCAGATCTTAAGACTTGGAAGCGAAAACACCTGTTATATGGCAGTGTGTCAAAACCTTGTACCCCTAGTGAACATCAAAATAGCTGGTAAATGGATGTTCATTCCCACTAGAAATGGTATTAATAGGTATTGATCCATAGCCATATAGTTGTTTCATGTTGTTTCTGTGGTGTTTGGGATTATCTATTTTGCCAGCTGGTTTTCACAGGATGTGATTGCGCCTGCGTTTAGCTCGCCAAAATGATCAGACCCTTTGAAAGGATGTGCTCCCAACAGCACACCTTTCAATGCCAGATACATTGCCTTCGGTGTTCTGTCCCTTTGCCTGCTGCTGCCTGCTGCCTGCAACGCGTGCTGCCTGCAACTGCTCCAACTCCTGCTGCTGCTGCCGCTGCTGCTGCTGCTGCCGCTGCTGCTGCTGCCGCTGCTGCTGCTGCCGCTGCTGCTGCTGCCGCTGCTGCTGCTGCCACGGCTATTGCTTATGCTATCCAAGAAGGAAAAATGTTTTTGAAAAACCAACACCTCAAAAAATAGCTCTTACCAATAGCTACGAAAAAAGCTTTCAGAAAAGGAGCTTTAAAAAATAGCTTTTTCAAAAAGCTACGATAACAGCTAAGAAAACAACTAAAACCTCGAGTTTCAGTTGTTTTGCTAGCTGTTTTCCTAGCTTTTCCTGAAAAATCAATTCTCCAGGAAAACAGCTGGCAAAACAGCTAGCAAAACAGCGAAAACTCGAGGGTATAGTATAGTTGTTTTGCTAGCTGTTTGGATAGCTGTTTTGCTAGCTGTTTCCTTGTGATTTTTGCTTCCAAGCTGAAGGGAAAGCAGGAAAATAGCAAAAACTTGAAGTTTTGCGGGAAAAGCTAGCAAAACAGCTAGCCGAACAGCTAACCAAACAGCTGGCCAAACAGCTAGCAAAGCAATTAAAACCTCGAGTTTTAGCTGTTTTGCTAGCTGTTTGGCAGCTGCTTTGCTACCTGTTTTCCTAGCTGTTTCCTGGTGAGTTTTGCTTCCAAGCTGAATGGAAAGCAGGAAAATAGCTAAAACTCAAGGTTTTGCGGGAAAAGCTAGCAAAACAGCTAGCCAAACAGTTAACCAAACAGCTAGCCAAACAGCTAGCAAAACAACTAAAACCTCGAGTTTTAGCTGTTTGGCTAGCTGTTTTCCTATTTTCCTAGCTGTTTCCTGGTGATTCTTGCTTCCAAGCTGGAGGAAAAGCAGAAAAACAACTAGAACTCGAGGTTTTGCAGGAAAAACTAACAAAACAGCTAGCAAAACAACTATACCCTCGAGTTTTCGCTGTTTTGCTAGCTGTTTTGCCAGCTGTTTTCCTGGAGAATTGATTTTTGTGGAAAAGCTAGGAAAACAGCTAGCAAAACAACTAAAACTCGACGTTTTGGCTGTTTTCGTAGCTTTTTGAAAAAGCTTTTTTTTAAGCTTGTTTTTTGAGATGTTTTTTCCTAGCTATTTGAAAGAGCTATTTTTTGAGGCGTTGGTTTTTGGCCAAAAATGGTGAGCTTTTTGCTACAGTCCAGTGTAGGATCAGCTAGAGGGAGCACCTTCCCAGGCCGCCAGCATGGCTTTCACATGTTTTCACAAGCAAATCTGCGAGAAGGGGCCGTGGTGCCTACAAGATCAGCTATAGCCGGTCTTCCGAGGTTGCAAGATATCAGCATTGTAAATTGTAGGTGTTGGTGAAAGATAGCAACATCCAGGAGACCCGCCATTGTCTAGTACTATTAGTACTATGCTTTAAGATCAGCTTAGGGACGATCCAGGTGGGCACCAATCCCAATAAAAAAAATTGAGCAAACCCTGAAAAAACAGCTATTTGAAATCACTAGCAAAATAGCTGGAAAAGAGCTAAAAAATAAATCAAGGGCACCCAATCTTTGCCACAAATGGAGTCTTAATGTTAATCCAATGGAGTTATAACACTGGTAAATCTTGGAAACCCCCATAAACCATCCCCAAAACAGCCAAAGCCACTATGTTGACTGGGACTGAAACCATCCCCGGTAGCTTTAGTATTGGCTTCACCACATTTGGCTGGGAGTCTCCTAATGGATAATGATGCACTGTTTATAAATATATATATATATATAATCCCCAAAAAAATACCAGTACAATCCACAGATGCGAATCCATCAACCGGGGTTTCAAGACATTTGACCAGTTGGACCTTTCGGAGTATACCAACCCACCGAGGTCAAGCCCTCCTTTGGCACACGGTGCAAGTAGTGCTTCTGCAGCATCCCCTCCATGGTGCACAAATCTCCTCGCGTCTCAACGTTTTGGAGGCTCGACATAAGAAATGTGCTGGACAACTCCACGTGTTTTTGAGGGAGTTTGGGACATACAAAATATATGGGGTCAGCATCTCTGTGACTGCTGCTTCATCTTCCCTTTTTTGATGCTTACCGCCCTGAAATCTAACCGTCGGAACCTCAGTTGGGTTTTTAAAAATCAAGTCTGGAGATTCTGGTGCGTCATCTCTCCCTGCAATCGCCTCCCTTGTTGCAACTCGTAGGTGCTGAATATCAAACCATTTGGATCCGTTTGGGGTATGCCTGCATTTTGGGCTGGTTAGATCCCAGCCTACTGAGCTCAGTCTCCCCGTTTTGGGTCTATCCCGGTATCCTAAGATTTTGCACGTCTCCCAACATTTTCGGCGGATCATGTCCCCCATTTTGGTGGCGATGAGCATTGCTGATCATTTGGAGGTTTCCCAAAATGATGGTACCCCAGTTATCATCCATTCACAGTAGGATTTTCCATGAAATCAACCATCCAGCGAGGCCATCCTCCATGCAGCACCAAACGCTGCATCTGCGCCGGCTCGCACATCGTCTGGCCGGAAATCATCCCCATGTCCGCCGTGACATGTTCGCTGGTACCCTCTGGTTATTTAACATAACTATATAGGAAATGGCACATGTATAATGTATAGATAATAAGACTGATTTATATACCATATGCATGTTTAAAATTGTGTGGTTCCATGTTTTTCCATAGGGTAACCATATCATCAATCTTGGAGTCCAGCTCTCAAACACCCAGAAACGTGGCAGGGCCAACACGCGCACCTTCAGCTCAAAGCAGCGCGGGGCACCCAGCGACAGCGAAATAATGAGGCAATCTTGGAATTTACCTGTCACAACGGGTGAAAACCAGCCAAGCACGGAGTGCGGCAAACGAGATGCTGGCATAACCACTAACAAAATCCAACTACTAAAATCACTAAAAATTAAGATAGGATAGAATCAGCAAAAATTGGATGACCAAGAATCCTTGTTGCAAAGTATGGGACAGGTATTACAGTCTCACCCTGTTGATCTCAACTGTCTTCAACCACGGTGCCTTGGAACAAGAACTCGTCATCAGAATGCCATCCCACAGAGTGGTCACCACTTTCATACAGGTTCAAATTGCACGAATCTGGCCAGTCCTGGCACATCAATTTCAGATGGAAATCTGTGGTTGAAACCAGTGCTGTTCTCATCAAATGACTGAGGTTGTCAATTTTGCCAGACTGAACGGTCGGCTCAGGGCAACACTTTTACCATCGACAACCCGACAACAACAGGATGTTTGCAGAAAGTTGTTGCGCATTGGAAGAATGAAGCCTTTGGGCTATATTATGATGTGTGACCAGTGCCTAATCAGCGTCACATACCCCCTAAAAATGAATCATACCACTGAATTATATAATTATCATATATATATATATATTATAATTCATTGATCTGAAATGTATGGCAAATTTGGGATATTTGCCCTTCCTAACAATCTGTCTAGTGACGTAGCAGTGAAGTGGTATAAGTTGTCCAAATACTACTACAACTCGTTGGGGTTCGTGATTGTATCAACATGGGCACAGCGAGCGAGCGAGCGAGCGAGAGACAGAAAGGACTTGGGTGTGATTCCACCCTGATGTGATTGTGATGGTGACAAATACAGGATGGATACCCTCCATTAAACAAACATGGCACTGTTCATTTGCAATAATTTTCCATCATCGGCATGTTTAACGGGGATGTGTTAGCCAAGCGATTTTGTTGTTTCGAAGACAACAATCTTCCCATCTTGGTTGATTCGCCTGTTGGCATTGTGTCCCCCACGGTTGTTGGATGAACATTACCCTCTGGTTATTTAACATAGCCATGGAAAATGGTCCATAGAAATAGATGGTTTACCTATTAAAAATGGTGATTTTCCATGGCTATGTTAGTCATAACCAGATGGTAAATCTGCTGTCTGGTGCTGATCTTCTTATTCCACCTGTCAAATCCCATGGTGCCATGCCTCTTTCGCGATGCCACACAGTGGCATACAGAGTTCCATGGTTTCCAACAGCCACGGTGCCATGGGTTCTGGCCTTGAAAAACGGAAGGTCGCATCAAGTGAATATGGCATAGATTGACTTAGAGATAGAGTTTCCTATTTTGATCACACATGGGGCCTGAAACACCATCATGTTCCGAATATGGCAACTGCCATTTGTATCGGGGTATGGTGCCATGGTGCGACAAGTCACTCCATTCGCAAACCGCCATAGCCATAACGACAGCAACAGGGCGCTCGCGTCATCCAACTGGTCTTTCGAGGAATGGGTCCCCACGTGCCTGCGGATTCAATGAGGAAAAAGTGGCCGCAACCAATTGTGGGACATCAACAAAAATTAGTGGTATATCCAATATTTCCAGTATCATCCAGTGTATAGTGATATACAGAAATAGTGGTATATCAGATATAATTATAAAGTTATATCATGTTATATCCAGTTATCAATGCGAATTATGGTTAAGCGACAGAACTTGTAATATCAACAAAAAAAATGATATAAAGTTTAATGCAAGCGACACTTCCAAGAATAATATGCAATATAATGCTGTAAAAGCAACAAGAAAAACATACTAATCATCACGTATCGCCAACATAAATGCATGAACGCAATGATGATCTGACATATACACCATAGTGCTGGGAAGTCATGGCTCAAGGGGTCAAAGAAAACCCAACATCGACTAATATATTCTTGAGAATCGCATCATTTGATTTGTTTTTGTTCCAGAATGACAAAAATGCGTTCTCAATTTAAAACAAAAATTCCATGTGAGTAGCAGCTAAGCAAATATGACCTATCCATACCGGACATGATCCTGTTTTGGTATTTCTTTTGAATCCAATGGTTACTTTGCGGATGGAGCTCCAGTTACAAATGGATAACGTTATAGTTTGTCCATGTGGAGGTTTCCATAAATGTGGGTATCCCAATAGCTGGATAGTTTATTTCATGGAAAATCCATCTATAAATGGATGATAACTGGGGGTACCCCCATAGGAAACCTCCATCTCCCAACTTCTGGGGATCAACTGTCAGGTACCTTCAGGCTGCTGCCAGTTCACATCCCTCATCGCGTGCTCCAAGAAGCGCTGAGCTGTGTCCTTGGGGAGTGCCTCGACTGGGAACGGCGGGGATTGGTGACATGGGGATATATGCTATGAGAAAAAGGAATTATAGAAGGAAATATCAGGGTGAATAGGTTTTCATGGATCTACTGAATGTGTCCGAAAATCACTGATATATTATATACCTCCATTTTAATGGGAAACTGGTGATTATATAAGATTTGGATGGAATTGGGGTACCCAAATCTTTCAGACAAACCAGCATGGTGTCAAAACCGGATCAAGACATCTGTGGAGTCAGAGTCGGACTTTGCATTGGATAGAATTATGTCAGATCAAATTTGCAAAGGAGAAATCTTGTCCTACAAAATTACTGTGTGAGATGAATCGCAAATCAAAAGATTATGCAAGAGGAAGCACGCTCAGCTTTTCTCTCCCTGCGATGCATACAGCCCGTTTGCGGTTATGTAAGCAAAGTGAAACACATGTGAAACAAAACCGTTGCGCAAGAGACATGATAGGAAAAGAGATTATTCGAGATTTTTACCGTAGCAGAACATGTTCAGCCATTACAAGACATGGAAGAAAGAGTTATTTAAACTAAGATCTTTAAATATAATATCTAATCTATGTATATATATATATACATATATATATATATATTAACGGTCAACAAAGACGTGGTTGTTGGTTAACAAAGCCCTAATAAACCCATTGGGGACCCTGGGGTAGCCCCAATTGGTCACCGCAGCCATGGCACCTGCGCCCGGTGCGCTGCAAAGCTCCGCCGGCCCTCGTCCTTCAAGACAGTCTGCCATCCATCCACCGCTTCCGACACCAGACGCAAGCCTCGGGAGGGCGCAAGGCGCCGAAAAAAGAACCAAAACCTTGGGAACTTCATGGGATTTCATGGGATTTCATGAGATTTAACAAGGACTTGATGTGGTTTACATAATAGGATTTAGTGGTGCTTAAAGGGGGGGGTCAATGATGTTACCGGACTTATTTTTCTATTGGCCTTTGTCATCAAACATGGCTAGCTATGCTAGCTGGGAAATCCAAACTCCCCGTGAAATTTGACATGTTTGAATATGGGAATATATAATATAATATAATATATATATTATATATATATATTATTATGAATATATAATATACATATACATATATATATATGAATATATAATATACATATATAATATATATAATCGAAGTACATGGGGGGGTCCAGCAAGCCATGTTTGACTACCATCAAAGGGTAATCATTCTACCATCAACAATCATCAAATAAACAAACCATCCTGATTTGGAGAAGTTCTCCATGTTTGGCGGTGAGAATCGAAATATAGATGGGGTTATCAGAAATGTACTGTGGTGCATTGACTGTGACCTACCCAACTAAGGTCTATATACCCAGTGCAAAAAAATGATGGAGCATTGTGGGGTCTGCTGAGCAAGTCCCAGAAGCGGACTGGGATCTGGGCACCCCTGCCAACCCGGGAGCGAGGTTCCTCCACCTCCTGGCAAAAATCATTGATCTGTGAGGTAGTGATGCTCTACAACATCCTCAGCGTTCGGCCTTCAAAGGCTCCCCATTGCCTGTTTGCCCCACGAAGTCCAAAGCCGACTTCATCAACACAAAGGTAGGTCTCAAAATTGGGTACCCCAAATCCCCCCCCAAGTCCCCTATGGATCCCTATGGTTTATCATACATTTTCCCCCGGTCAAGCTTGCCATAAATTGGGGGCTCCAGATGGCGACAAAACCATCATCCTCCAGAGATACATCTTGCGCATGCGCCGACTCTGCTGCAGCCACTGGTGCCTCTCGTTTCGAGCCATGAGCGATATCACACGTGTCACACGATGATCCCGTTAAAAACCCACATCAATTGATGAGATGTCAAAAAAAATGTTTTGCTGGAGGGTAAATCAAGCAAGCTAGAAACATAGGCCTTGTGCCATCCACATGGGACTGTGACTGTAGCCCACAAAATTGGGCGTTTATGAACGGATCCAGCAGAATAATGTTGATGATCCTCGACTTTGAGGCCTGAAGGCCTGAAGGCCGAGGACTGCAGAGGTTCATCATCATTCTCCTGGTAAATCATCCCATGTTTTGATACCTTGCGACCTGCTGCAGTCACTGCATCCCATCATCGCAAGTCTTTCCCCGGTCAGTATCCACTGATCAACAAGATGCCTCACCAAACAGCCTTCGGCGCAAGTCTGCCGTCAAGAAGCCAGCGCGAGGCCGTTTCACCTCGCAAAAAAATTGCTTTGAAGGCAGCCACACAGAAAGCTGGGTATGGCATGGTATGGCTTCAAATATACAAAATTACATGAATGACCCCTAAAAAAGTATGGGTTGGATGCTTTCACACAGTGAAAAGTGCTCAAAAATATGGTTGCACCGCTACCTATTCTTAGAAACCCATCTGCATCGGGTTCGTCTGAAATTTGGATACCCCTGAATCCACTGCAGAATCATCATCTGTGCTGCACTAACATTGCCATCAATTGGGGTAAATCCTCAATTGTTTGGAGAAACCCGGATCATGTTTTCGGTGAAACATCTCCCGTTATATCCCAATAAAATATCCCCATTGTGGCAAACCCAATAAACAAAAAAAACTCAGTTGGGGATGGTGTCTACCACTCACTTATGAAATTTATGGTAAACTTGGGGGCCGGTTTATTGGGTTTACCGTGGTTTACCACCATAGTTTAACCCATTTGAGGCTTACCAAATAACGGTATTTTCCACCCCAAAAACTTGGTTCTTTTGGTCACCTGGGTCACCTTTGGCTTCTCGTTGCTGGGCGGCTCCTAGCGTCGTGTTTGGTGGATCCAATCTACCTGGCTGTCCCAAACTGGGCACCCAAAACATCCCCGATATGAAATGGCCATTCAAACATATTCAAAGATGATTTTCTGAAGCATCAGATTTCTTGTGATTTCTTGGCCTCTCCCCACAGCCTTAAAGAACTTCCATCGCCCTGTCCTTCTCTTGACTGGGATCTTTGCCCTCTGGAAGAATCTCCACCGTATCTCCATCTCGGAACACCTGCTGCTTCTACACATCAAGTCTGGAACAGTAGAGGAATAGTTTCCTTCCAAAAAGTCTGTGCCTGGCTGGCACACTCCCAGCTGGGGATGGTGAAACCATCAATGGTCAGGCGAGCCGCCTGCAGGAAATCTGATGGCCTTTAAGCCTCAAATTTGACCAATTCTGGGACACTCGGGCTTAAGGGTCAAAACGAGGCTATGGACGGATCGCACAATTTGGTCATGTTTGCATATGCTGAATGTGTATATATATATACATACATATAATATAGTATAATGTATAGTATATATATAATATTATATATATACATAATTCATATAATATAAATAATATAAATAAAATAAATAATATAAATAATATAAATAATATAGATAATATGAATAATATAAATAATATAAATAATATAAATAATATAAATAATAAATAATATAAATAATATATATAATATAAATAATATAAATAATATATATATAATATCTAATATATGTAATATATATATATAATATGTGTAATCGTCGTTAATCATCCATTTTGGAGATTAAATGAACGATTAAAAAAAACGGGGATAAAGTCACCCCCATGGTTGGTTACTGGGATCGTTTAGTTTATACTCTCTAAGTTTACCACATTATGTTGGAAGTCTTCCAAAGTAACCCCTAGAAAGATTAATATAGAAGCAATTCACCACAACTGTCACAACGCTATAGAATCGGATCTGACCAACACCTTCATCTTTTGCGGGGTACCCTCTGGTAAACTAACATAGCTATGGAAAATCACCATTTTTAATGGGAAAATCCACTATAAATCACCATTTTCAATAGCTTTTTGTATGTTTACCAGAGGGTATATGGTCCCTTAAAAAAAGATCCGTTTTCCACAGGAAACCATTGGTGGACTGAACTGGATCTATGACTTGGGCGGCCCGTCCGCAAAGGGGGGTATAAAAAATATTAGGCTGGGATGAATTGATCGTTAATTACCCCCAATATCAATCCCAGCCCTCTAATATTAAATATAGTATAATATACTTATGATTGGGAATTATCATGTAGTTATTAGTGGGATTGATAATATAAGAAAGCCAGTTGTACACCGCCCCAATATCATCCCGAATGGATGGTATGAAGCATCCCCAACAATTAAGCCAAAAGCAGCAATTCTTTTAGCGATCAAGTGCTGGTGACAATGGTAATTGATGGTGGTTTTCTTTATGGCGGGTGAATCATAGTGAATCCAAATCCCACAACTTGAGGTATTCCTGGGACTTGCACTGACATACACTGACATGCACTGCTAGCCTCACCCAACTTTTGCCCGGAAAAGCGCGCCACAGACGCCCCATTTCGGGGTACCGCCACCACGCGCCGTCCACCCTAGCGGAGAGGGGGCCGTGTTTGATTACCGGAACGTATCATGGGGATCTTGTGAAGTTATGGGGATATCATGGGGGTATATAACCAACAGAATATGATACAGTAGTATGGGAACATATGGGAACATAATCACCATACATATCCATACATCATCATAATCAATGAAGAACCCAAGACGTCTCTCACAGAAGCAAAATGAAGTGCTGTCCTTCTGCACGTCCCGCACAAAGATTCGCAAAGGCAGCGACATGGCTTCATCAGAGCCCCACTGGGCTGGGGGCCGTGGGCGACGCAAATGAGGTCCCAGAATGGGCTAGCCCGAAAGTCAAATGGTTTATCTTCATTTGCACGAGTAAAATTGCCATTTTGTCTCCCACCCCATTCAAGGACAAACTCAAATGTTGCTGGTGTATTGCTGAATTTGCTGAATTCGCAACCAGCAGAAGTCGTCAAGCCAGCATGAAGTCTTGCAAGGCTGCCAAGTTTGCAGCACACAGCTGCACAGTTTCTCCGGCCTTTTCTTCTCTTGAGCCACTCAGAAAACATCATAATCCCTGCAGCAGGTAAAAAACCATGACTAGTAGCTGAGTCGCAACCCAATTCACATCCCTGGACATCCCTGGGATATAGTAGGAATTCATGGGATATATCATTATATTTCCCAGCTACTAAGCACAACTAAACCCTAACCTCTACCAACTTCAGTGGCCTTCCAGCTACCGCGTCCTCGGCACGTTGCAGGCCGGCACAAGCTTGGAGCACCTGGCAGGGTATCAGTAGCTCCTAGTAGCTCTGGAAGCCCCCAGGTTCTAAAGTTTGAAAATGTGATAAAATCCAGTTGATTATCAACTACGATTTATAATGTCAAATAGGTGTTTGGACAATTATGTATATAGTTCAGAGTACTTGTTCTATCAGATGGTTGGAAAAATCAATCATAGCTCCTTGACTCCCCATTGAAAATAGATGAAATAAGGTGTGTATGTGTATATATATATATATATGCATGGAATTATACGGATACCCCTTTTAGCTCCCTCCTAACCACTGGATACCTTTGTCAATAAAATATCAAACCGATAGGTTCATCTGGAGATCCACCGCAAAAAATCATTCACGTTCACCAACGGAAGAACGTCCACAGAGCCGTCAAGTCCGTTGCAGCTCATCAGTTTAGGTTCCAATGAAAATCCGATGGTCTATCATTTTTTTCCCCACCAAACTTGTTATTTTGGGGTATCCCCCATTTCTGATTAAAACCTGAGCTTCCCACACTGATGATAGTGGACAGGGTGCTTTCTGCAGACATCCTGCAGGAGGGCCATGACAGCACATGGATTTCATAGCAAATTCCAACAAACCCAAACAAAAAATGTAGTGTACGTCATAATTACATATATATATATACACATGATAATTCCCAATTTCCCAAATATTACAATCCTCTGACGTCGAAAAACGATTTCTGCTGTCATGGGACCTTTCGGAATTGTTCGACGTCTCTGCCGAGCCTTGGACGCCGATGAACTCGTCATGAAACATCATGAAACAATGGCAACATCCAAGTTTTGGGGAAGCAAATTCAGACCCAGACTTGGATGGGATCCCAGGGCAACCCATTGACCGTTAACCACAACCCAGTTCGGTATATATAATTATATATATATGTATATATTTTTTGCTAATTTATTTATATTATTTGTTGATCTTGTTTTTTATCCGGGAACAGCCGTTCTTCGCGAATAAAATTGTTTCTTGCGCGAAACTTTCGCGAACTCCATGTGTATCTTTCGCGGAACCCATGTTGGGCAACAATGCCTCTTATGAAGATTCATTCATCACCTGCCAAATTACGCCAAATTAAGGATCACTTCTTGGTAGCCTTGTAAGCATGCAGCTCGCATCATGGAATCCATATTCAGGGCAGATGGTTGCTCATTAGGCATTTTTTTGGAAGACTTACCGAATCACCCCCTTCAAAATGCACTTTGACTTTCGCCCGCTCCTTCGGAGAACTTTCGCTGAACTTGTGCGAAAATATTCCTATCCGCACCCAGCCATCAGCAGAGGGAGCATCAGAGGAAAAGCACACGCCAGGGGCCTTGGTGTTTGGCCAGCTGGCGAAGCCTCACTTTTGGAAGCTCGGCTGCTGCACTTGGAGTTTGTTTCTTGAGGCTTCAGAAAGCAATGTGAGGCAGTGCCAACAAGGATGTGCTTCAGGCTGTGGCGAAGCCTCACCTTTGGAAGCTCGACTGCTACCTATGAAGGGAATGGTAAATGTCCAAAGTACAGCACCACACAGTGAACCGAACCAGAACCAAACCGAAATTCTCCGGCACCCTTCTCCTGCCGGAGCCCCGGGCGGCAGGGGGTGGTAGCCCTTTAGAAGTTGTATATGTATACAATATGATTCATAATGTCCAACTTTAGCGAATTGGCGGTTCCCAACATAACATGAACGGTCTTCGCAATTAAAACTCTTTACAAGGACCTTAGATCGAGAGAGAATATCCATTTTGATCCAGGAATTGATATTCCCAGTTGGATTGATTTTAAACTTCTGCGGCTTACCAGTTTGTAACTAGGATGCCAAGTCGACACTCATCCAATCGAACCCTGAGGCAAGGCACCGAATTGCCTTGCCAGGGTTGCCGCCAGTTGCAGCGCGAAAGGCACAACCTTGCCACAGTCTCTGGTGTAGGCTGCGACTCACAACTATTGGTCTTTCGGCTAAAAAAAGAAATGCAAAAATATCCCGTGTTAGGGTACCCCCATTTTAGACTTATACGACTTATACGGATACGGCTTTGTCTTAAAATCAGGCACCAAAGATGATGGGTTAATGATTAAAATGATCATTTTCGCTACTAAACTTGCTATTTTGGGGCACGCCTCCTGTGGGAAGTTCTCCACCAGTCTTTGCAAGGCAGAAGCCACATCCTGCGTCGTCGCTTCAGATCCACTTGAGTCGGGCCATTCCAAAAAGTGACGTCCCATTTTGAAAATTGACTCCAATGTGTTTGATGTGTTTGATATGGTTTGATGGTCATGTTAACAACCAATTTTGCCATCACTTGGGCTAAATCCACATGTTTCTGGATACTCCATGATAATCCCCATAAAAAAAAAAAAAATAATAATAATAATAATAATAATAATTTTCCCGCATGAATCACCATGTTTGTTGGTTAAACTCAGTTTTTTTCTTGGTGAAGTCGTTCCCATGTCAACCAACACATCTGCCACGGTTGCCACGTCCTCACTTTGTACATCCGCCAGGGTGACCAAAAGCTGCTCCATGGCCGGCGCAAGCTGCAGCCCAACTGCTGCATGCACCTGGGAACAGACGTGGATTCAATGGGATATTCAGGAGGTTTTTATATGTTTTTATGGGGGATATGGAGGTTTCCATGAATGGGGTACCCCTAAATAATCCATGAAAAAATAGGATTTTCCATGATAAACAATCCATTCGGTGGGTACCCCTATTTCAGGACACCTCCATATAACTATAGTCATAGTTAATGGGTTTATAAACTAACTTATAACTGGGGTGCCTGTGGGTGCCTCACCTTGTAGTTGATGATTATCCCATTATACATAGCTATGGAAGCCATGGCCTATTTATCCATGTTTTACCAAAATGGCTATGCGTTTCATTGTTTTTCCATAGTTATGCTGAGTCACGGAAGGGGAAAACATCCATTTTGGGTGGGCAAATCATTTTGAGTACCAAACATTGACATATTCAGCACATTTCCAAAGTCCCCAAAGTCATGAAATTCTCTTCAAGATGGGCCAAGTCGTGGAAAGATCCAATACCAACGAAAGTTTTCCGGAGTATTTTAAGGTTAGGGGAAGGGATTGCAGGGGCTTAACCATCTGGGGGGTGTCGGCAATGTAGGGCAACTGGTCCCCCCACCATTGCTGGGCAAACTATATAATCCCATATTTGTTGGTAAGGGACCCCTGTATTTAGCTGATGAAATGCCAGTTTTTGTTGGTCACCTAAGGAACCAGAACATTCTGAACAGTGATCCAAGACAGGCTTGCTGACATCCCTTCCTAACGATGCTAGATCACGAAGAAAAGCGACACCGTTGGGTCGTGAAAATCTCAACAACCTGCGAGTCTGGCTTGCGGTCACACCTGCAAACCTGAAATCCCATAGAATGGGTATATCCCATAAATTCAAACAGCAAATCCCTTCTCTAATTTGTATACCACATCATCTGTAAATATGGCTTGTCTGAAAATGGGTACCCCACAAGATCCACTGCTTCATCATAGCGTGTCCCTATTTAAAAATACAAAAACACCCAAAAAATGTGGGTATACTGTACCGATATAATATATATATATATATCCCATTTGCAAACACCCATATGTACTGAGAATCAGCCATTTTTGGAGGAAAGTATCTTCCCAACTCATGGCAGGGGCGTCATGGAAGGATGGTATCCGTTGCTATCCCCATTGAAATGGTTGGTTTGGAAAAAAAACGAGTTCCCAAAAATCTCTGTGATTTCCCATTGAATGATGGCTGTATCAGCATTGACTGGTAGCTTACCATCAAAAAAAATCCACGTGGCGATGATTTTTCATGAATCCCAGGAACTCCCATGGCCTCCTGGTCCTCTCTGGACAACAAATCCTCCAGGCAGCTCGCTGCTACCACTCGCACTGGAAGCTCCTCAAAAAAACATGGGGAACACCCACCAACTTTGAGATCGAAAAACAGAAAGAACATCATGTTCACCCGTTTTTGTGGCAGAATTTATATGTTTGCGATAGATCCAATTTCATACTCGTTTGATGGTAAATTCATGTCTTTTCTTATCAAATCCTTGCAATTCTTGGATATTCAAGTGGTAGTGTGGGGAACTACCAGACCCTTGAAAGCCCCCATCCAAGGAAATAAACCCCGGATAAACTCCGTGGTGATTTTGCTACAAATAGGGGTCTGGGGGTATAGGGAAATTATGGTACTTTGACTTTTCCTGACACCAACGTCTCCGAAGAATGCTTGGTGATATCCCCATGTGTCTGTCTTGTTCTGGGGTGGAAACCAAGTGGAAATCGACTTGGGTTCGCCAGTAATTATTCTTGGCGATATCCCCTGGTCATGTGGGTGTCCCCCTAGCGATGGTCTCATGGGTTTTAACCCCCATATCCTCATGTTTATCGTTGGCCGAATTGTCCCCCAGACCCCCTCCTTTTTATATGCAATTTCATCAAACAAGTGGATATGTGTCGCGATAGTTGTGTGGGCTATTGTCCCAACTGCACCCATTGTTCTAAAGATTCTGAAGTAAAAATCGGTGCAGAAGTGCAGAATCCTCAACCCAAGCCCCATAGATCCCCGCCATCCATCGCCTTGTCGCCCAACATCCTCACGCAGTCGCAGGTGGCACCCCCTGCCACGCCCGGGCGGCCCAGCTTGGGAGCATGATGGGCAAAGCGGCCCAGGCACCACGCGCCGCGCAGACCTCCAGATCTCGGATTTTGTTGGGGTTCACGGGGTTGCTAAACCAAGAATGGTCGGAGTCCACGATAAGATGAAATGTGTCCGTATGTGTCCGTTAAATGACCCCCAGTTCATCAATAGATCCAATGCTAAACCGGGGGTTCACTTGAGGGTGTTTGATATTGTGGAGAAGGAATTAGCTAAGGGGTAAGGAGACAAAGCTGGAGCACAGTTGAACAAAAACTGTGACTTGGTTGTAGCTCATAATGTAGCATCTTCAGAAACACCAATTCTTGCAATGTCGGACCAATTTTTGATGCTTCCAAGGTCACTATCAACCCAGCCAAATCAAGCGAAGTGTTTGGAAGTGCAATGAAAGCACCCCCTGTCAGCGAGTACTGTTTGGTTGGTAAGGATTCACAACTGATTGGACAATTCCAACAATTCCACTTAGATTTCGCAGAAGAACTTCGAGCTCAACAATTCCACTTCGAGCTCATGTATAAGTATGTGTATATATATACATATACGTGTGTGTATTAATGTATATATATATATTAATGTGTATACGTGTATATATATATATATTGATGTATATTACTGTAATGTGTGTGTGTGTGTATCTATATATATATATATACATATATGTATATCAATGTGATCATATATATATATTATAATGTGATCATATATCCCCATTTTGGCAGGTGAAACTGCAAAATCCCAATGTTTTGCCACTTCGCATTTCCATATTTCATGATTGGATCCCTATCTTGGCACAGCAAATCCCCAGTTCATTTGCCACTGAAATCCCATATTTGTTTGACAAACCTTACCCAGCTGAAATCAAAGAAACATATCAACCAATATCAGGTCCTGTCTAAAACTGGGCTAGTTTCTTCATTGCTTTCCCCATGAAAATCCATGAAATCATACTCTGAAATGGCCATTCAAGTGTGGTAAATCCTAGCATTTTCATCGACCTATCAACCATGAAATGATGCCGTGTTCATAGTATTTAAATGGGAATACATGTTGATACCATTATATAAATGGCTGTTTAAATGTCTTTAATATGTTAAATATGCCAAAAAAATGGTACCAGTCATCCCAACCTGCTCTTGGCTACCGCACGCAAGAAGGCAGCCTGGGAGGTCATCGCAGGGCGGACATAGCGGGAGATCAACTCCTCGATGCCTCGGCGAGGCAAGTGATGCGACAAGAACGGCGATTTCACCCGGAAAAAAATATATAAAACGGCTGGAAGATGAGGATTGAACCTACCAAACATAGGGGTTTCATGTTGATTTGTCCGATTCATAACAGCTAAGTGGGGTTATTTCGCTAGGTTAACGAGTTGGGTGACCAACATTCGAAGGTGACATCTTCCCTTGGCATCTCAAAAGGTTGGCTACAGCAATCCCCAGAACATCATGAGGCTTGGTGTGCTAGATGGATTCCGAAAAAAAAAAAAAACGTCAAAGTTATATAAAATAATAGTCAGTAATCATAGCAAAAAAAGTTGGATCAGGAACATGTTATCGTGAAACATCCGGTTAAAAAAACACTCATGAAAACATCTGGAAACATCATAAAAGACCAGGACAAATAAAAAAAAACATGAAAAACAAATGACAGAACTTCCTTTGCCAAGAAACTGACGCTGTGTTGCGCCTTGCTTTTTCCCCTCCGCTTTCTAGCCTGGCGTTCAGCAAGAATCATGGGAAATTACTGGTGATATCGGGAGTATTGAAAACACTTGAAGCAAGTTGTGACTCGTTTTTTAGAGGTGAGGTAATCGCAGTTCAGACATTTGTCCTGATTGCCAGGACCGTTACACCGTTAGACGTTAGACGGATCCAAAGCCAGGTTTATCACAATGCCAACAAGAATGACAACTGAGAAGAGAGAAGAAACATCTTCGAACAAGGAGGGAGACAAAGAATCTCAGTGCTGACGCGGCTGTGGCTCATTGGGCCTTGACCTCTGCCTGTAACGGATCCAACTCAGCCAAGTACTCTGCCATGAGGCCAAGAAGGACCAATGCGCCATCCTGTCCAACTTCGCAGGGGCCAACTGTAGGGAACTTGTGGGATACTGGAACTGTTACACTGCCACTGTAACCACTAGATAAAAAGGTGGCGAGTTGGGCGTCGAGTCTTAGATCTCAAACTCTTACCCGGGCTCTTCCAAGCCACAAAACCGCGAACCATCCCCAGTGACTCACCGGTTTCATGGGTGCTTTTTGAATCATCCCCAATGCTACACACACAAAAAACTGTACCAGTACTTGCTAAACTGAAAACGACCTGCATCTGCAGTCTCTTGTTTTTTTCAATTTGACATGTACCCACTTGAGCAGTGTTCAACCCCCCCAACGTCATTCCACTTAATTCTGGTTGGTCAAGAACGGGATTCCCAGTTCATGGATTATGATCATCCCCAATACACAAAGGAACACAGCTAATTTTGGAACACCCAAAAAACTCATTTTGGATAAATATATATATATATGTATATATATATGGATTTTTTTAAAAAAAAAGGATAGTATAACACCGAACGAATATCATAAACCAACCAGGGTGTCAGTAAAAGCAGCCACTGTTCTCCTGATTGGAGCAAGCGGCCGCATCTTTGGCCTTGCAGCTACCCAAAATCCCATGATCATCACCTTGGAAATTGCCACAACTTGGGGATTCAACCCATTTTGGGATGTCCCTCTTATAATATATATATATTATATATATATATCTTATATATATATATATAATGTTATAGTTAGGATCCCATTTTTTCCGGGGTTCTCTGCAGAATGTGTCCCTTCAGTCTTGAAATCTCAGTGCCTCTGTCTCCAAATGCCTATGGCAGAATTGAAGAAGAGGCAGAAGGATCTCCTGCGGTAAAAATCAGAGACTGATCTGCGTAACACCAACGGGTTGAAGGCCTACCTCCATGTTTGAATCATCTCAACACCTGTCCAGATCATTCAGATCCAACGAATCCACAACAATGGAAATTGGCAAATATACATCACGAATCATACCTTACAAAACGAATATTGTCGAGGTTCAGATTCCCGTGCAAGCCACTGCCAACGGCAGTTCAAGCCACGTGTTTGTGAAAGCCAACATCAAAATCTGGCCATTGAATTCCGATGCAGATTTGCATCTCTATGATATTTGACATAGAAGTCAAAGAAATGGCCATATCAATCCCCTGGCCCTAACAATACTAAACACCCCCAAGAAGCGCTGGCAAAAAGTCGGGGATGAAATCACGTATTGGGGGATGGGGTTTATAAACCAACAAACATCACTGGGGGGACCCATAAAAATGGCAGCATCTAACCATCGGCTCCTTATGGTGATACAGCAGCAGTCGCTCGACCAACTCAATGGCAGCCTCCAAGGCAGCAAGTCAGCCTTTTTCATGTCCCACACATCTAGCCCCAAGCTGGACCTACATCGCTTCCCGCTGGGGTAACATACCCTTCAGCTCTTGCTCCCTGCTCGACCCCCTTCACCTCACCATGGGCCCCTGGCCGGCTGTCGCGCGTAAGCGCTTAAATACGTACGTGTGTGTAAATATATAGATAGATAGATACATATATATATATATAGATATATATATAGATAGATATATATATATATAGATATATATATATACCATCACCTTGGTTCTTTATCCCACAACATCCACAAACTCATCCGCCTGATGGGGCTGGGTCGACGAGTCGCTCTCACTCAAGAGCTCTCGGATCAGTTCCTGCAACTCGGCGACATCGGGACCCCAAGTCATCGTCCATGGCTATCCGTGCTTTGGAAACTGGAAAACAGCTGGTTTCAGAAACCCCCAATTTTGGGAAACCGTCATAGCCGAATTCAAAACCTCCTTTGAAGCCAAGTGGAAATTATTGTTGGTCCAAAACAGGTGCCATCCTTGTGTGACCACACCGGGAGCTCGCGCGAATGAGTTTTGCTAAGATTTGGTGAATTTTTACTTATGCGATGTAGGTGCGAAGCAGGTTCTGGACGTGGCGTGCAAATGGTTCATCCTAATAGATATGTGTATATATATATATACATATATGTATATGTATATATATATACACACACATATACATATATTTATATATACGTATATATATATATATGTATATATATAGATACATATACATGTATATAATATATATATATATACTGTGTATATATATAAAGAGAGAGAGAGAGAGATAGTTCGATCTTGCGTGAAGCTTGCGGGAATACAAGGTTGCGCGAAGCTTGTGTGAAAAGCTTCCGCACGCAGGGGTCCAATTATTTTCTTGAGAAAAATTCGCCTTGTTGTCAGACAACTAATTATGATGCCATGATAGCATAGCGGGCTCTTGATAGCCACATGTCATTTCTTTGAAAGGCCTCTGAAGATCCTCTGGATGCATTATGGTGCATCAGTAGACAAGCAAAATTGAACTTTGGCAAATAAAGGCTGGAATAATTTTTATTCGGGATTCATGAATCTTCACCTGGACACAAGATTGTTACACCCGCGCGGTGGTCTTGATGCAGACAGGGGACACCACAGAGGTTTCTGAAGAAATTGGTGACCCCTTATCACCGTTGGCTTCCCTATGATTTTAACGATAAAGAACTTTGATACGCATATGAGCTGCATTCGAAACTGCGGGTAGATCACTTGAATCTTGGGTGCCTAGAATTTCCCGTGGAATCCTTTGGTTTACATTATTTTTGCATTATCATCTGGTTATTTAACATAGCCATTGAAAATCACCATTTTTAATAGGTAAACCCTCTATAAATGGGCCATCTATACCATGGCTATGTTAAATAACCAGAGGGTAAAACGGTAAAACAGAAAAAACATATGCCATTTTGGGTCCCCCATGGCTAGCGGCGGCTAGCGGCCTCTGGATCGTCTTGCCAGAGTTGGAGTTCCTCCTCGCCGAAACGGACCTAGGTCTGACGTCCGATACGTCCGAAATCTCAACAAAAAGTGCTGTCTATGGTGGTTCATCCCAGTTAGTGGGTTATAACCCCAGTGATTTACATGGGATAAGGAGCGGGTTAATCCACTTATAACTGGGGTTATAAGCCACTTACTAAGTGGGATGAGCCACCAAGTAGCCACCCAAACTTCTTGCATGTGCAAGAATTATTTCTGCATTTCAGTCGAAGATTCTACTTTGGAGCCTGAGATCCTTCCATGCAACATTGAAGAATCTGGGATATCTGCCTTGATGCCGCGATATCTCACACTTTCTGGACATGTTCCAGTCCAGAAACATTGGCGGAGTTGAACTCCAAAGGACCCTGCCCACAAGGTTTCCTAGCTGCTACAGTATTGGCTGCTACAGCTAAATTGTTGCTTCACTTCCCATTTCTGCTCCCTTTTCAAAAAATAGCCGCGCTGCATCCCAGGCCTGTGGAAAAATGCCATGCTCCAAAAGTTGCTGTAGATTCGGTTTCAAGGCCTGGACGTCGACCCCAACCTGGTGGTGCTTTGATGCTTGTTTCAAGTAACCAACACCTATTCTCATTCTTATCAGTAAGAATACCACCTATTGTTCCCGATGATGGTGGATAATGGTGGGATAATGGTTGATTTCTCACATCGCTACTTCGCATCTCCTCCTTTCTTGCAGATTCCACCCTGACGAAATCGCCGCCTCAAATGCTGCCTCTCTTCGGCACGCCTCCGCAAGACACAACCTCGAAGCAGCGGTGGGCGGTGAGTCCCTGGAAGGTGATGCAGTCCCAAAATCCGAATCATAATCGTTAGTATTGCTGGTGCTATGCATATTAATGCCAATGCTAAAAATCATATTGAAATTTATAGTTTAAAAATAATAATGATAATAATAATGATGATGATAATAATAATAATGACAATCATCATCATCATCATCCAATCGTTACTCCAGCACCTCCCAAAGCTCACAGGTTCCCCTGCAGTGCCAAACTCAAGGACTTCTTTGGTACCCAGGTGCCTGGGGCCCGAATGAAACCGCCCAGGGATGAAAAGAAATCTGGGGTTGGCTTGAAAAATTGGGGCAATGCAAACAAAACATATGTGTACTAAGACAAGACCTGCGGACGATGTATTTGTTCTGATTTCGGTTGAGATATCACCAACAAAAATGGGTATGGAGATGGAAAACCCCGAGGGTCATCCTGGGTACTGCAAATTCTGTTCATTCCACTGGTGCCCGGAATGTTCAATGCGCTAAACCCAATGCCTAAACCATCTCCCATTGTTTACCAATCATTGGTGGTTTTACCCATCTCCAATTATAGGGGTGTATAAATTACTAGGTTCCACATTACCAAATGCTATTTGGACGTGTGGGTTTGTTTCAACCTCCGGTGCCCTATCCCATCTTAAGTTATTGGGGGGATGCCCACATGATCATAAATCACCATTTTAATGGGTGCTATAAACCATCCCCAAATCGCAGGTATTTGGATTTGTCTGAAAATGGGCTACCCCTAAATCCAATCCGTTCATCATCATTTTCCCCAATTAAACTAACCATTTTGGGGATATATCCCATTTTCAGACACACCCAGTATAGAATTTTTAGATTTTAGACCCCCCTTGCAACCCACCCAAGCATATTCTCCGGCCCCAGACCTTGCTGCCGAGCACAAGCCTCTTGGAGGCACGCACGAGCCACTGGCACCTAGGGCAGTTCCGAAGGGAAAAAAAGGAAAACAATAAGTGATTGTTGGGCAAAGAAATGCTGTTGAACCTGGGAAATGTCATGTCAAATCTTCGGCAAACATAGTGTTTGAGGTCTAGAACTTCAAAAGATGACCACAAATTCTGGCCTCGTACAGGTCATTCCAGGCCTGACAATCAAACAAAGAAAGGCAAATCCGCGGCAAAATCAAGCCTGGTTCTTGATTGCCAAAAATATTTATCCTAAAAATCGAGCTATGTATTGTGTCTGTCTGTATGTATGTAGGTGGGTAGGCATGTTTGTGATGCGATGCAATGCAATGCAATAAATCAAACTGTAGTGTAGTGTAATGTAACGTAATGTAGTGTAGTGTAATGCAATGTATGTATGTATATATCTGCTTGCATTTTGAAAAGAAACATTCAAAACTTAAATATGCCGCACATGTGTTTGACAGGCATATATTATACATTGATACATATATATATATATATGTATACACATACACAGAGGGAGAGCGAGGAAAAGAAGCAGGAAGGAAGAAGATACATACATATCATATGTGTACATATATGTATTCGTATAGATATGTACATATTACATGTATACGTGTACATATATATATATATACATACATACATATGTATATATACATAGTGGGAAGTCTTCCGCAAATCTTGAAATATATATATATATACATACACATACATACATACAATACCATTACATTACATTATCATTACATACAGTTACAATCATTACATATAATTACATACCATTACATTATATATATATTATACATCACATCACATCACATCACATCACATCACATCACATCACATCACATCACATCACATCACATCACATCACATACATACAATGCATATGTATGCGTGTGCGCTGCCCCCTCATCATGGATCTACTGGTTTGTTGTTTTGTTTCGTTGATAGCACATTCTCTTATGTAGCCATCTTATATGCAAGCAATCATTGTCATGAGTAAACATTAGAGGGTATCAAAGAAAAACAAAGGAAGGACAAAACACACCCAGCATACATAGAAGATGGATCGACTGTTTTCAGGCATTCACCTTCCCAGGCTATCATTGATTGCATTCAAGACAAGGCAGGCAAACAACAAAATGCACAGCGCGTGTGGAGGGTGGAACGAGATGACGATGCACATTCTGTGCAAAAGCAGATTTTTTCAGTTTTGGACATGTCCTTAGGATACACCAAAAATCACCAATGTATCTCTTCTCAACTCTACTTAGTCAAGGGTACTTGGTAAGTCTACCTGTCTACCTCTTTGTTTTGCGTGTGCTGTGTCACTTTTGAAAGGAGTGGCATGAGCTTCAGAGCATGGTTTCGCGCTGTCCAGGCTCGAGAGGGTATGGAGGGTATGGGACGGGAAGTGCCCCTCTTCACTAAACCGCCAAGCAAAGTGAAAAAGGGTTGGTCCTCCAATGAGTTTCACTCCCTGGGCCTTTTTCTTTCAAGGAAGCTTGGCAGCGTCTAGATCGCAGACACATTCTGCAAGTGTCGAAAGAACATGAAAGAAGTGTTGATAGGCCATGATTTTCACTTCAAATAACCGCTGTGAGGAGAATTGGACCACGAAGTGCAAAAGCGATATGTCCAGCATAGCATCAAGCACGTAACAAGGTGCGAAAGCGAATCTGATAATGTGTGAAGAGCAGCATCAAGTGGGAAAGTGAATGCATTTGCCCACGCAACGCCACCTCACCCCCCAAAACAAAGGTCACATGCGTGGATAAAAATGAACATAAAGGGACCCCTGCCTATTGGGGATGAAGAAGGATATATACATGTATCTGTAGGGTATTTCAGGAATCAATGTGTGTGTGTGGTTCTTTTCGGTTTTGGAGCAGGTAGTGCATATATACATCTTTGAAAATCTACAGATCCAAGCATTTCTTTTTTAGCACATCTGCCACCCGTGTTGCTCATTCGTTGAATTTCAAGTCACGGAGACTCATGGACATAGTGGGCTGCTAATATGTTTAAAAGTGCTAGTGAAAATCCACATGTCCACAATCATAAATATGAATTTGCATGTGTGTATATATATATATATATATATGAATCTATATGAATGTGTTTGATGAATTTGTATATGAATTTGTATAGAGTATAGATATGATATGTCTATGTGTCTCCAGTCGGCCATGAAATAACAAGGGGGATCTATGATCATGACTGCCGTACGCCCCATGCATCAATCGCACCACCTTTTTCCGCACCTTGACAAAGTCTTCCATGCCTTCCGCACAGCGGCGAGTGTGGCAGTGCTTCTGATAAAATCGCAACCTTGGTACAGGGCTCCAACAGCGTTTGCCCTAACAAAGGGGGGTGTATATAGTATGGTAGAAAAACCAGAATATGTTTGGCCAACTATGGAGAGTTTAAGGCTGAAGGGGGCTGATATACCCCCAAGTTATGGCCAAATATGGAGAATTGGGGGAGATATGATGAAACTCTAACTGGGCTGCAGGTTTTGAAGGGGACAATGGCACTAGTTTTGTTAACCAACAGCTATACATGTTTACGTATGTATATATCATATAATATATACAACTATGTATGTGTATGTATATATACTATACTATACTATACTATACTATATTATGTTATATTTTATAATATTATTTTATATATTATATTATATTATATTATATCATATTATAATATATTATATTATAATATATTATATTATATTATAATATATTATATTATAATATATTATATTATAATATATTATTTTATAATATATTATTTTATAATATATTATATTATTTAATACTATATATTATAGTATATTAAATAATAAAATATATATATATACATATTATATTTTATATTATATTAATTATGTTATTATATATGATATTAAATATTATGTTATATTATATATGATAGTTTACATTATATTATATCATATTATATTATATCATATATGATTATATTAGAGATGATTAAATTATATTATTCCAAAATACAATATAATATATAATTATATATATTACATTATATTATTGTATGTTATAAACTTTTATATTATATTATATATTTTATTATATAATAATATATTATATTGTATATTTTAGTGTATTATAATATTTTATATATTTTCATATGTTATTGAAATATATTATATTGTATTATCACATTAAATTATTTAATATTATATATTGTATTCTTTAATATATATTATATTATCTTATATTATATATGATTATATCATATTTTATTTTATTATATTATATTACATCATATTTTATATATTAAATATTATATATTATATATTATATTATATATATAATATATTAAAGATTATATATTATATATCATATATATTATATATCATATATATTATATGTCATATATATTATATATCAAATATATTATATATCATATATATTATATATCATGTATATTATATATCATATATATTATATATCATATATATTATATATATTATATATCATATATATTATATATCATATATATTATATATCATATATATTATATACCATATATATTATATATCATATATATTAAATTATATCTTATATTCTATATTATATTCTATATTATATTATATATTATATTATATATTATATTATATATTATATTATATATTATATTATATATAATATTATATATAATATTATATATAATATTATATATTATATTATATATTATATTATATATTATATTATATATTATATTATATATTATATTATATATTATATTATATATTATATTATAGATGTTATATTATATATTCTATATATTATATATAATCTATATATTAGATGATATATATATGAGGTCATATATTATAGATTATGTATTATATAATAATTTATTATAGTATATCATATTATATTATATATTATATATTATATTATATATTTTATATTATATATTATATATTATATATTATATATTATATTATATATTATATAATCATTTATTATATAATAATTTATAATAGTATATTACATGTTAGTATATTTTATTATATTATATATTATATAATATATTATATATAATATATAATATATAATATACCATATTTAATATAGTATATATTATTTATTATATATTATATATTATATATTATATATTTTTTTATTATATATTATATATCATTTGTTATATATTATATGTTGTTAACATTATATTATAGATAAATGTGTTTATATGTATTATTGTTATTATTATTTCTATACATAAATTTAATTATACTATGAATGATTTATTATACATTATATACATTATATATGTATACAATTCATTATATACATTCAGGATGGGGCCCTGTTATAAGTTAGTTTATAAACCATTATTTTAACTATAGTTGTATCTACCATAAACCATAGGTAAGCCACTTACAAGGCAACTTAGCTATCTTGGGGGACCCATCCTGATCGTCTCTTTCCGCTGAAAAGGGATCTGAAGGAGTGCTGTCAAAGGAATCATCTTACCATGGTCCAGTTAGGTATTTGATTCTCGAGATCGTGGCTTCAGCATCCCTCTGGAACTACCAGAGTTGTATCTACCTGCTTGGTCACAACTTTAAGTGCCCAAGGCTGCAGCAGGATCTGGAAAACCCATTTCCGACATTTTGCTTCGCAAGTGGCTTCTTGCACCTGGTGGCAGTGCAAATCCGTGCAAAAACCTGGCAAAGTTAGACCTGAAATGCTTGACACGTGGATTGTAGACGTTTGTTGATGCAATGTCTTGCTTAGACATTATACATATATATATATATGATATCCACACCCAGCACACTCAGTGCGGAGTTCCTCTGCTTGAAATGTACTAGATACAGTGAAATTCAGTGAAAACTGCCTTCCTGGAATGAGGAGACATGCATAACCATGTGTTTTCCTGTGTTTCCCATTGCTACTCATGCGGCAACTGGCTGTGGCTCACACAGGCAAACGAGAAAGCTACGGTGCTTTTTCCGCATGGCAACGCTGTTTTCAAAAGTCACGCCTAAGTCATGCCTAAGGGGCCTTCCTGCATGCCACCGCGATCAGTGCAGCACTTATTCAATTGATGTGGTTTCAAAATGTTCTTACGGCCATTCCTCTTGTTTTAGTTGTTTAGTACTGGCTCTATGCCTATGCAGTCATCAGGAATTCAGTATCTTTTTTTGTTTTTCCCCACCTGCCAGGTGATGGTCTCTAGATTTTAACAAAGGTGCAACTCCTCCTTCCTTGTCTCACTCACTCCTTCCCTCCTTTTCTCCTACCCTCCTTTTCTCCTTCCCTGCTTCTTCATTCTTCCTTCTTCTACCACCAGCTCGTCGCCACTGTGGGCACCAATGGACCCGAGCCATATCGCAAGCTCTATATATATATATATATATGTCAGAATATACAGTATGTCAGATACGTCAGTATATATGTCAGAATGCCAGAAGAATGCCCGAAACTTTGTCAGAATAATTTGCCAGGGTCGGCATCACTCGAAGCAAGGTAATTCTTTGTGTTGCTGAGATTGTTGACGCTAGGAGGAAAAACGACGTACAAACGACATATAAAAACGACATTCGAACCAGACCCTGGCCATTCCTGACCTCAGGACGCAAGGCAAGCACCCAACCAGCTATGGGCCCAAAATGAACTACTCACCACACGAGTTCCCAATGGCACCGCTGAATCCAAACAACCATAATCATAACTCATAATAATTCATTACATATATATATATATATATATACATATACATATACATATATATATATATGCCCTAAGCAGGCTTTGACAGCAAACCACATAGGCACCGCAACAAAAGTCAAGAAAAGTGCACCTGCTATCAGAGGTCGCCCGTGGTCATCCCAGCAGTGAGGATTCCTTATGGCTATAAGTCCCTTCTGGCATGACCATCCCCATAGTATGGGAAGTAAACCGTGTGTTGACCACATTGTTAATAAGTTAATAAATGTTAAATATATAATGAATAAGTTAATAAATAATGGATATATTCGTAATAATTCATTGTTAATAACATTTAATAAATAGCATCTCTTCCAAAATACTGCAGATATACCACGATATACCCACTTCCTGCCTCTTGCTCAAAGCCAGCTGGCGGCACCGCCATCTTCCATTCAGACACCTGAAACAAAAACAGGGTCTAGCTGAATCTCAAAAGCCTCTAGGGCTTCCGTCATAGGAGCTGACGAGGGGGTACGTATACATATCCTAAGTGGCCGCGCATGCAAAACATATGTAAAATTCATATGAAACATACACATTTACGTTGTTGGAACGTATGTGATGCGTATGTGAAGCGTATGCGCAGCGCAAGTGAAAACATATGTGAGCCGTATGCGAAACATATGTGAAACATATGCGAAACACATGTGACACATTAACGTATTTTGGGGACTGGATTGCGTTGTGTTTATGTTTACTTTTGTATACGTTTGCGAATTTATGTGTTTTTTTACGTCGGAGGAAAAATAAGACCTTATTTTGTGCAAATCACGCCAAATAAGGCCTTATTTTGGAACGCGCGTAAAGAAAACATAAACAAAACGCAAACGAGAACGCAAACATATTTTGTAACGTTTGTGTTTGTACATGTGTATGGTTTATGTTTTATTTATGTCGGGAGAAAAATAAGACCTTATTAGCCGCAATTTCTGGATATGTCGGGAGTATGCGTTTTGTTTGCGTATTTGAAGCCGTTTATGTATGCGTATGCGCAGGCCAGTCCAAGACGGGCTCTATTGTGAAAGCCTTTGAAACCCTGCTGTGACTGAGTCTGGCATCTTCAGTGCATCATCTTTTCGGTGGTTTCAACTCCCTGAAAAATACAAGTTTATAGTTTATAGGGTTCATACCATTTTTAAGCATGAAACAAATAAAAATATTACTTTCCCAGTGATTTTTCATCATCTTCCCGTTAAAATTGCCATGAATTGCGCGGAGAATACCGTATACCCCATTTTCAGACACACCCATGGCAGGTCAAGATTTTTGGTCAGCTCTTTGAGCACTCCACCGTAAGTAACAGCTCCATCCAATGCCGGATGTCCTGTCTTTTCCAACTTCCAAATGACTTACTTGTGCTTAGTAGGGGAATGGGGAATGAGATGATTGTTGGTTGTTATTATGGGTCATTCCCCCCATTCCCTACTAAGCAGCAGTAAGATGATAGAAAAACATGAAAAACTGCAGAAACAAACCAGAAATCAGTCCTTTTGTACCTGCCCGGGCACTGCCGTCACGGTACCAGAGTACAAACACTTCAAAACCTCAAGGCGCAGCGGAAGCAGATAGGAACCATGGCCACTGAAAGGATTCGTGGCGATATCCGATGTCTAATTGTCATGTGTTTAACCCTTAGCTATTCACATGCCCATCATCTCTGGGTATCCGCATTTTCTGCTTGTTTTTCCGTTGTTTTTCCCCGTGTTGGGCCCAAAAATGGTGCATCATCAGCTTCAAACACACGGCCAAAAATGATTTGGCTCACCTTTTTGTTGGATCTCCGCATAGATTTCCATGACTCCCCTGAAAGGGTCTTCCTGAGGGTGCTGCTAACTTTAACATTTCAAAGGCCTCCGCCACGGATGAGGAGACCACCCCCATTGGATCCCTTTTGTCAGATGAAGAAGTGGATTTGGGGCCTACTTTGTGGACAACCCCAATATCACATTGTTAGCTATCCCGTGAACTATTCTGATATCCCCATTAATTTGGACAATATTCCGGTATTTCATCATAATCCTGCGGTTTGCGGTAAATTCCTTCAACAAACCCTTCACAATTCTTGATGGTAAACATGCCCTTCCCGATGATTTCTGCGTAATATCTCACATCTATATGGGTTCTGAAGATAGGGTGCCCCAAAATTTCATGGTTCGTCATTTTCCCCATGAAAACATATGAAATGTGCTGGGGCCCTGGGGGAGATACACCTCATTTTCCACCTCCGCGGATTTCGCTGCGGCTGCTTGGGCGAGAACGGGACTCAGCTGGAGCAACGCTGGCCTTGGCATTTTCCCGCAAGCCACGTTTGATTAGAGGAGGGTATACGTATGGTCACATATTATACAGATACTGTAGCATACATGAGCATACATCTGCACTGTACAGACAAAAAACACATGTGGATGCAACTTCTCCAGATTTACACCTCCGGTGTCATCAGCCACATGGCTTGCTGAAACTTCCAGCAATAGTTCGGTGATTTTCCCAGATACAGTATATAAAGCTCCATTTAGTTTGGAAATTTCCCAGTCCGCCATGTTTGATGAGACCAGATCCGCCATCGCACGCCAAATCGCGTCAAGGCACAAGCTCTGAGTCGAGACCTGCTCCAAGTCTTGTCGTCTCGCCAACTGCGCAGCAGGTCGAAGCACGTCCGAGTCTGTTTCAGACATTGATATCAACCATCAAAAGCGGGAATATTTACCAGGATATATTTACTGGTATATATTTACTGGTATCCAACGCGATATGATGTTTGGCTGTTCGGATTTGTCTGAAAATGATTTACCCTCATGTCATGGCAATTTAATGGGGAAAATGATTATAAACCATCAAATCTTAGGGTACCTAATTCTTCAAATAAACTGAAATGGCTATGAATCAGACAAAAAAGTGTTCAGTTTTGCTTGTAAATCTACCTATCTGAAGTGTCACAAATCAAGATGGGTATGGCGACAAACAATGGCACCATCACCACCGTTTTAAGGGGTGGGGACATACCCAAACTGTAAATTATTTTTTTCAAGGTTGGTTCTTGAAAATGTAAGCTTACATTTTGAAGGTATGTTGAAGACCCTCCCCAGCCCCACAAAAACGACACCTGGTGGGTCCCCAAAAATGTACCTTACATTGTGGTATGGTGCCTGAAAAGTAGCCTTAAAGGGGTGATATGGCACCATCAAATCTTGAGTGCTAGCCCTGCTGTGGTTTGTAAACGTCCCTTTTTCGTGGTTAAACCCACACGCTGCTGCCATGCTGCTTGCTAAACTTGTTGCTTTTGCTGTAAAAACAAATTACCATGGTTAGACCAGGTAAAGCCTAAAATCATCCGAAAATTCCCATATCTTTATTGCTTAATATTGTTTAAACCATGGCCTTTATTGCGCCCCCACCTTCACCACCCTCTTCGACTCTTCCCTCCAAGGCACCACTCGCAGTTCCAAGACCTTGAAGAGCTGACGCAAGAGCAGCAAGCTGCCCAATGTCTCGGCCTGATTTCTTCATCTGGATATTTAAGGTTGTTTCCTAACTCATGAGGGATCTCCAAGTAACCATGGTAGTTTCAATACGAAAATTGACTAATTACTTGGATGATTTTAGGGGTACCCTCATTTAGGAAACCTCCATTTATGGTATATAGTGAGTATATATATATATACACACAAAGTATGTGAAATCTCTGTATGAAATCGACCATGTGAGGTTTTGTTTGGGGGATTCAAAAACATGCTGAAAACCATGATGAATGTATTATGAAGGGGATTTCACATGTGAAAAAAAACAAACCAATTGAATGGAACCAATGGGCTGGTGTCATGCATTTTGCGGGGCTCCCATCTTTGCCTTATGCCTTCTGCCCCAAACAGAACCTCCTTGCGACAAAATCAAACCGACAAACCAGGAAATGTGCTGTCTAAAGTGAAAACAAATAGAGAAATTAAAGCATGTACAATTAATCCGCCGACCCCGGCCATCAGTAGGGGGGAGGGCGCCAGAGGAAAACCACAGATCTTCGTCCGGCACCACCAGCTTCATGCCATCCACGGTTGCGAACTTTGCATCTAGCTTCTAACAGCTTGAGGAAACAACGTTAAGCACCACCACCCAACCCGACTGCAGGATTTGGAGCCAGCTTCTTACAGCTTGAATAAGCAACGTTAGGCACCACCAGCCGTCTGGGCCCATGGTTTTCGAGGCCCGGCTGCTGCATTTGGAGCTAGATTCTTAAAGCTTCAGAAAGCAACGTTAGGCACCACCAGCCGTCTCGAATGACCGCGTCCGGCCTTCACTCTCACGGTGTTTGGAACTGGCGGGCCCACAGTTTTGGAGGCCCGGCTGCTGGATTTGGAGCTAGTTTCTTACAGCTTCAGAAAGCAACGTTAGGCACCACCAGCCATCCATCTCGAATGACCCCGTCCGGCCTTCACTCTCACGGTGTTTGGAACTGGCGGGCCCACAGTTTTGGAGGCCCGGCTGCTGGATTTGGAGCTAGTTTCTTACAGCTTCAGAAAGCAACGTTAGGCACCACCAGCCATCCATCTCGAATGACCCCGTCCGGCCTTCACTCTCACGGTGTTTGGAACTGGCGGGCCCACAGTTTTGGAGGCCCGGCTGCTGGATTTGGAGCTAGTTTCTTACAGCTTCAGAAAGCAACGTTAGGCACCACCAGCCACTCTCGAATGACCCCGTCCGGCCTTCCTTCACGGTGTTTGGGAACTGGCGGGCCCACGGTTTTGGAGGCCCTGCTGCTGGATTTGGAGCTAGTGTCACCCCGAGACCTTCTCCACAACATTATCAACATTTGTTTCTGCAACTGCAACCTTTGTTCTGCAACATTAGTTTTTCTCTCATCATTTGTTCTCTACATCTCCTTCCAGGGGTCGGCGGCAGGGGGCGGCAGCCCTTAGATCCGGGCGCCGGCCAATGGGCACAACCTGCGATCAACATAGGCCCAGACTGCTTCCTTACAGGCAAGCACTGCGCATTATGCCTGCCTCAGTTCAACATAGCCCTCCCTGGGTTTGCGCGGAGAATCTCGGCCCAATCTTCCCACACCATAAGCCACAAGTCGTTGCTCGGCCGGCGCCCGGCTGTCAGGCGTAAGCCTTTAAATAACTTATACAGCTTAGCCAGATGGGCTGGAACTCCCTTCGAAAAGATTCGTGGACCAAAACAGTTGTACCAAAACTGTCACTCTGAGTCTACGACATTCTGTTCTGACCGAAGACCAACGACAAGCCTCTCCACTACCCCTGGCCACTCACTTGGGAAGTCATGTAGGGCCTCGGCTGAAAGCTCCCAAAATCCCATGGTGAAAATCAGGTCACATTTGGAAAAATTAATGAAAATTTCCATTAATCATTAATTTAATCATTAATCCCATTAATCCCATTAATCCCATGATTAATGATTCCCATGTCGGCTGTAAAGCCAGAAATTCGGGCATCCTCCATGGCAAAACCTTTGTGGCTCGGCAACCAAAGGTCCATTTCTGAGTCTCCTGCAACCAACCGAAAGCACTCGGCCAGTTGTACCCGAACCTCAACTCGTGGTTCGCTTCAAATTCTACATGGACATTGTTGAAATGAAATCAGAATTGTGTTTTGCACAGGGGCATGCCGGGTATGCATGCGTTTTTGTTGGTTGAACCATGTTGAACCCCAACAGTTTGATGGTGAAAAACAAGATGAAGCCCACGAACCCGAATGCTCACACGTATGTTAATGGTACAGATGTCAATACACATGGTTATGCAGTCACGCACAATACCTTTCTGCAATAGTTTGTTTGAACAGTCTTGTACATGTTTCCCTTGTTACCAGTCTGCAGTGTGGAGTGTAAAGTGTAGAGTGTGGAGTGTGGAGTGTAAAGTAAGGAGTGTGGAGTGTAAAGTGTAGAGTGGGGAGTGTAGAGCGTGTAAAGTGTAGAATGCGGAGTGTATAAAAGTGTAGAGTGTGGGTTATGGCGTTGTAAAGTGTAGAGTGTGGAGGAGTGTGGAGTGTGGAGTTAGAGTGTGGAGTGTGGAGTGGAACGTGCAAAGTGGTGGATGTGTGAGTGTGGATGTAAAGGGAGGAGTGTAACGTGTGGAGTGAGGAGTGTGGAGGTTTGATAAATTGTAGGGTTGCGAAGTGTAGAGGTTAAGTGTAGAGTGTAAAGTTGTTAGAGTGTGGATGTAGGTGTAGCGTGCTGTGGAATTTTTTACAGTGGAGAGTGGAAAGGTTAGAGTGTGTGGTGGGTTTAGTTTGTGGTTCGGTTGCGTTTTGTAGAGAGTTGTTTGCGAGTGTGGAGTGTAGAGTGTGGAGTGTGGAGTGTAAAGTGTAAAGTGTGGAGTGTAAAGTGTGGAGTGTAGTGTGGAGTGAGGAGTGTAAAGTGGAAAGCGTGGAGTGTAAAGTATAAAGTGTGGAGTGTAGAGTGTTTGGTGTAGAGTGTAAAGTGTAGAGTGTGGAGTGTAAAGTCTGGAGTGTAAAGTCTAGAGTGTGGAGTGTGGAGTGTAAAGTGTGGAGTGTAAAGTGTGGAGTGAGGAGCGTAAAGTGTGGAGTGTGGAGTGTAAAGTGTGGAGTGTGGAGTGTGGAGTGGAAAGTGTGGAGTGTGGAGTGGAAAGTGTAGAGTGTGGAGTGTAAAGTGTGGAGTGTGGAGTGAGGAGTGTAAAGTGTGGAGTGAGGAGTGTAAAGTGTAAAGTGTGGTGTGTAGTGCGGGGAGTGTGGAGCGTAAAGTGTAGAGTGTGAAGTCTGGAGTGGAAAGTGTAGAGTGTGGTGTGTAGAGTGTGGAGTGTGGAGTGTAAAGTGAGGAGTGTAAAGTGTGGAGTGTGGAGCGAGGAGTGTAAAGTATAAAGTGTGGAGTGTACAGTAAAGTGTGGAGTGTGGAGTGCGGAGTGTGGAGTGGAAAGTGTAGAGTGTGGAGTGTGGAGTGTAAAGTGGGGAGTGTGGAGTGTAGAGTGTGGAGTGAGGAGTGTAAAGTGTAAAATGTAAAGTGTGGAGCATAGAGTGTAAAGTGTAGAGTGTGGAGTGTGGAGTGTAGAGTGTAAAGTGTAAAGTGTAGAGTGTAAAGTGTAGAGTGTGGAGTGTAGAGTGTAAAGTGACGAGTGTAAAGTGTGGAGTGAGGAGTGTAAAGTGTGGAGTGTGGAGTGTAAAGTGTGGAGTGTGGAGTGTAAAGTGAGGAGTGTAAAGTGTGGAGTGTAAAGTAAGGAGTGTGGAGTGTAAAGTGTGGAGTGTAAAGTGTAGAGTGTGGAGTGGAAAGTGTGGAAAGTGTAGAGTGTAGTGTAAAGTGTGGAGTGTGGAGTTTAAAGTCTCAGGTGAGGAGTGAGGAGTATAAAGGTCAAAGTGTAAAGTGTGGAGTGTAAAGTGTAGAGTGTGGAGTCTAAAGTGTAAATTGTGGAGTGTGGAGTGTAAAGTGTAGAGTGTGGAGTCCGGAGCTTCCCCCATAGACACGGCGACGCCACAGGAAAACCAGAGACTCGAGACGAGACACATGGGTGCAAAAAAACGAGCATTTCGTGCGAGACTTCCTCCAAGTTTGATATTTTCGACACGTTATCAAACAGGTTGGAATGTCACAAAGTGCCACGCCTGCCACGCAAAACGACATGACAACCTGCGTGGAAACATTTGAAAAGGAGAGGTTTTGCGGCTTCCCCCAAAGACACAGCGACCCCACAGGAAAACGAGAGACTCGCGACAAGACACGTGGATGCAGAAAAAAAATGAAAAAACAGCATTTCCTACGAGACTTCCTCCAATTTTGAAATTTTGTGAACATCATCAAACAGGTTGGAATGTCAGAAAGTGCCACGTCTGCCACACAAAACAACAACACAGCCTGCCTGGAAACATTCGAAAAGGACAGGTTTTCCAGCTTCCTCCATAGACACGGCGACGCCACAGGAAAACCAGCGACTCGAGACAAGACACGTGGATGCAGAAAAACAAGCATTTCGTACGAGACGTCCTCCAATTTTCACAGTTGGCAACATGACAAAAGGACAAGTTTTGCAGCTTCCCGCATAGACACGGCGAGGCCACGGGAAAACCAGACACGCGAGAAGAGACAGGTGGGAGCACCAAAACGAGCATTTCGTGCGAGACTTCCTCCACTTTTCACACTTTGCAGCTTCAAAATCGACGTTTTCCTACGAGTTTTCCTTAGAACCTGACAATTTGCAACCTCAAAATCGATGTTTCGTGCGAGGCTTCCGTCAATTTTCAGCACATGTCAGAAAATGCCACGCCTGCCACGGAATTTGCACCTTGTCACCACTTGACGCAGCCCTGCCAATGCGATTTACAAAAAACACGCAACGCGACACGTCTAAAGTGCTGCGCCTGCCACGAAAAATGACGATGGACACGCCCAAAGTGCTGCGCCTGCCACGAAAACTGCAACACATCTTCTGAAAACGTCGCAAAAGTATTGCGCCTGCCACGAAAAACGACTTTCGACACGTTGCAGAACACGTCTGAATGTCACGAAGTGCCACGCCTGCCACGCGAAACGAAGCAACGACACGTCTGAAACCTCCAAAAAGGACCACCTCTGCAGAACTTCCCATAGGCACGGCCATACGGGGATCGCGCGAACGGTTGCGAACGGTTGCGGACGGTTGCGAACAGTTGCGACCACAAACGCAACGTCGAGCGAACACACCCTCAACCCCCAGACCCCCAGAGTGAAACGGGAACCCTTGCTACGCATTCGGGAAAAACACATGTTTGCTGCTTAAATCTTGGCTGATATCCCTTTTCGGCTGGTTGGACCATTGTTATTGGTTTCATCTCGAACATGTGCCAAGTTTGACCCCTGAGGATAATATCCAACAAGCCATCCCATGTGATTTGTAGAATAGTGCAACCCCACAGAAACAGCGGTTTAGAATGTAAAACATCATTCTCCCTCTTAAAATTGCCACAAAGTGGGGGATCAATCAGTCAATGCCCCATAGATTTGGCCAAGGTGCACCTTTCTCTCCTACAGCGGCGATGGCACTGTCCACCAACTGCTGTCGGACCGGCGCCTGAGGATCTGACATCGAAAAGCTGGAAACCTGGAAATGTGCTTGGTTATGACTAACATAGCCATGGAAAATCCATGGAAAAAATGGCGGTTTCTAGCTGGGAAAATCATCTATTTCTATGGACCATCTATACCATGGCTATGTTAGTCATACCCAGAGGCTATACCTGGATTTCCACTTTTCGGCATCTTTTTGGGGGGTCAGCGTGTTGGAATTTGGGAATTTGGGCTTGATTCACTCAGGAGCTGGCTTTGTCCCTCTCGGTGTAGCCGGGCTCACCCTCCAGGCCTCCCGTGCAATGATGACCCATGGCCCCTGGAAGAGGGCTAGCTGCCGTGACACATTTCTGACGGTGAAAACGATCGAAATCCAGGTCAAACCGAGTCAAACCCAACATAGAACCCCTGAATCAGATGGAGAATCAGATGGATCAATGACTTTTCATACTTGTATAGTCTGCATAGTGCCTATTCTGCACCATCGCCGCAACTGGTTCTTCAGCTGAATGGCAGCTGCCTGCATCCCCGCTGGATTGGATCAAGGAAACTCGGCTGAAGATTCCCAGCCATCGTTTCACGATCAGGAGCTATCTGAAACATCTGAAAACTTGAGATACGGGTGACACAACTTTGCATCTGCCGCATCAGCAGCTTGTCGAACTTGCCGAACTCATATCATCTTATATATATCATGCTTTTCTGAACTGTTCAACTGGGAGGTTGATACAGCCATGATGTTCTATGATCCTTTGCGAACCGGCTGCCAAATGCTGGTACAACATGGTACAACCCTACATAATGTAGTAAACCCAAGACCATAGACCTCCCATTTTGTGGGATGGGTTTTTAAGGGTTTTACCACCCTTTTCCGGCCGACTTGGGGATAAAGTATTGTTGACCCCCATTACATCAGAATTTAGCTCGGAATCCTAGAACTTCCTCCGCGGAATTTTTAGGGAAATCTACAGCTATTCATCCACACCCATACATCACGGGTACACAGTATACATCCAAATTTGTTTGTTGGTCAAATCAGGAATAAATCAGGTACATCTCAATTTTGGTGGTTAACCTCCCTCTTACACCTTCAAACCCCCTATTCGACCCTCAAGCAATAGCACTCTATAAGTGCTGAGACCTGGCGAATGGGAACTTCTTGAGCCGCGTTGGTCACGTGTAGAAGGGCCTTGGTAAACCCAAAGCCATAAACCCTCCCCATTGACTTACTAGAAATGGCTAATATGGCTATGGATCAATACCTATTAATACCATTTTTAGGGGAATGAACATCCATCTACCAGCTATTTTGATGTTCACCAGGGGTACAAGGTTTTGACACACTGCCATATAGAGCAAGACATCCTTGCATGAGTGTAGGTTTATCCGGCCTTCCCTCTTTCATAGTGCTGACATAAGCTGTTCAATGGACACGCGCGGGCTATATAACAATCACATTTCTGCGCCTTGGTTGATGCTGGTTTGAGTTCATCGTTCATCTCCATTTCTTCTCAGGAATAGATGCCATTCTTAATGTTCATATTCAGACTTATACAGCAGAGTGTTAAAACAAAATAATCACTTTCCAGGTCTCCATCCACAAAGAATTTCAGCCCTCCCTCAGAGCACAGGGGGCGCTGGCAGGTAGCAACCCAGGCTGAAACGCTGCTTCTTCCAAAAAGGCCTCGGCCTGCCGTCTCTCCTGCCCGGCACTGCCCCGAGTCGATCAGCCCGAAATGAGGTGTCGAAAATGGGGCCTCCATTTCCCTTGAAAAACTACGAACCAAGACCTACCAAGCGGCTCCTGGGCATTGGGGCTGTAGGAATGCCGGAAGACTTGATATAGCACTTCTGGATCCACAGCTACCTGAGTACAGCAACTTCCATCTTTTCACAGGAAGATCTCTGTTTCAATATGGGTTAAACTAGGATGAACTCCCCAAATGATTACATGTTTCCCAGTGATTTTTTTGGGGGATACCGAGGATTTCCCATTTATACATGGATAAATCATGGAATATACTATTGGAGAGGCCCATTCCAACAGCCAAAACCAAACAGCTCCAGGTCCCTACCAAGTCAAGGAACCTGCATGGCAAAGCAGGGCGCATGGAACCGCTCATGGCGAACACATCGCACACGAGTGGCCCGGAAAACTTTGACGGTCTTTGGCTGGTGGAATCACCTGGGGGGGTAAATTCTATGGAGGTTGTTGGAACGTTGGAAGATATGGTGTCCATCTTGTTGGGGGTAAAGAAACATCTAGAATAAAACATTGAACTCACGTAAGATGTTGTGATCATCCGAAGTTTGATCGGGTGACTCCAAGAACCACGAGTACTGCGCTGGTTCAAATTGTTTGTTGGTATGGCACACTTTTTCCAAGAGTCCAAGAGAGTGCCGAAAGCGAAACAGGATGAATCTTCTTGAAAAACGTTTCCTGGGACTACGAAAGATCTTGTGTGTTTGCTTGTGCCAGCAAAGCTCATCAGCAAAAAAGGCAGCTACCGAGCCAATCGTGAGAGAGTCTACCTGTAAAGCAAGGACCCCACATGGATCGGATTCTTGGATTCCAAGGCCAGAAGTCCCCGACAAACATCACTGTAGCAGAAATCAGAGCCTTCTTTCTATCCTCTGTCGGGCCATCCCGCTGTTGACACTGCGGCCTTTCTCGGCTGAGTCCATTGCGACTCGGCCGCTTCCGCTTGACTTTCCAACTATCTGTTGGATCCGGCGCTGGATTCGGCATTTCTACTGCCACATCCAGCAGCAAAGCATAGGCCAGTTTGAATCGCTTCCAGCATGGGACAAATTGTTTTTTTTGGCTCCCATCTCAGTTTCAAACGGCCATAGATCGGTGCATTTTTTGCCTCCCAATTTTCGACCCATCTTTTCATTTCCTATGGTTCATCGATTGGAACATCAGCCACCCGTGGCCCTGTCCATCCGCGACCAGCGCTCAAGCAGCCGTTCTAAACTTCGAAGCGCCCTGGAAAAGCAGTTTGGGACCAAGAAACTGGAGGAGTTTGAGTTTGGGACAGACCAGAGTAATGGAGTAGTGGAGTAAGGAAATCAGGAACAATATTATGGATCTTGCGCTTGTTGGGATGACAAGTGTTTCGCAAGAAAGTTACGATGAAAAATCTTGTGCCTACCTAGTGACCAAAAAAACAAAAGGCCTTAACACTTAACATCAAAACAGTATCAGATTTTTTAGCTCCAATATGTACACCGCAAAGCCAAGCTTCGTGCCATCACAGCAATTCGCCCTCACTGGTATCAAACAATCCATATGTTTGCACAGTAAGACCCAGTAACAGTAAGACCCAAAAAAAGATGGTGAAATACCAAAAATATCCAAAAAATAGTTGATGACAAGTTTGACCCAAGCCCAACTTCTGCTCACTCGCCTCTGGTCATGGACTTGCACCCGATTCGCTGCCTCCAGATTTCAAGCAAAAACCGCACATCAACCGCACCTGGACAGTTTTGGAGTCGCCTTGAATACAATTATGAATCCTATGATTTATCAACATATATATATATATACAATATTGTTAATGGTGGTTATAAAATGTTAGAAACCAATTTGTAACTATTTTTATGGTAGACAATGTATATCATATATCATCATTTTGTCCATGAAAGTGCCAGGGTTATCTCTCATTTTGGTCAAACCCTGGCGCCTTCTGGGCTCGAGCAGCTTCTCGTTGCTGACACCTGCGTCAAGGGAAACATCTCCTCCGTTCCATCCAGTTCCAGTAGGCTTGAAACCTGGATTCATAAGCCTCGGTTAACATTTTTTTGGGGGTCAAATAATGATGAGTTGCTACTAAATGGTATTCCTCCATATTCCTCCAATAAAACGGCCCAGGTGGTTTTCAATTCCGGGTTGACATTAGGGTAGAAATCCCATCACAAGTGTCTGGCCTCTGGACGGCTCTCTCCTTGCGTTGCAGCTGTTCGGAGCGCCGGAGCTGCCGACTTTCAGCCGGCTCCTCACATTGGAACATGGCTGCGGATCAAAATCCCCCATAGCTGCCAATATAGCTGAAACAAATGAAACAAATCGGGAAACCACAAGTTAGCCATTCAGGTGAAATGTAATGTCCATCAAGCTTCTCAGGCGTTTTGGTTCCTTTAACACTTGCTCTGTCAAGTGCGCATGTTTCAATCCCATTAAGTTTTTCACACCAAACAATGGTTTTATTTGTTGCAATGTTGAGAAGTGCTACTTAAAACATCGGTTCAGAATTTTCAGACAAGCCCCCTGAGCAACGTCATGAGATAAATTGCCACTTTCTTTATAGACCATGCAAAAAAAAAAAAACTCCACGCGCGCAGCAAAATTCCAGAAAAATGGCTACAAGTGACCTCCAGAGGTGAAAAGTGACTCCCTTGTTCACAGAATGCGCTAGTATGGACGGAAGTTGTAAAAGGCGGCTTTAAACCAAAAAAAAAACTATCCGATGTTCCAGAAATATCAGATTCCAGGTTTTGTTTACCTCGAAAGTGAACAAAGAAGAGGCGAAGAGCTCCAAATCACTCAATTTTACTGCTATGCGATCTGTTTTTATGGTATGCGTCAGTTTTTTCGTATGTGCATGTTGTTTTTCCGTGGAAGGCGATGACGCTCCTGCAATGGAGCCTAGTTTCCTTAATCCAGAGTACAAACCCTTGAAAGTCCTCAATCCATGTGATCCAGTGTCATGCCAAAACTGAGTAGGAATCCTATCCCCCCAAATTTTTTGAGCTCCAATGGTCTCTTCACAAGAAATTACAAGGCGACAAGGCCATGGAGATCCGATCCCAAAAGAAATCTCCTGCATCCTTCTCCGATGAGTCGCCTCAGTCTCGGAAATTCTATGGAAGTAAGATTGAGACTAACACCTATATGCATGTTCCATTATAGTAGATCTGTTCAACCTACTGTATATGTTAGGCTTTTACAAACCCATCATATCCCAGCTATTGCAGCGTCTATGGGGATTCCCAGTTGGATGTTTGGGGTCATCATGGCGAAATCACTGGAGAAGCGATATGGCCTGATATGGCCGTCCTGAAAAAACACCCGAGTTTTGGGGTCGTGAAATCCCGGTTTGAAGTTGAACCCCTATGGGCCTCTATGTGAAGCTGCTTGAAATGACTAGATCTCCATTTCGATAAACAATCAAGCGTCATTCATCAATTCCACATCCCCAGTTTTAGTGGTTAAAACCAATATTTGGTAGTTAGGCCTTTCCCACAACAACTGCTTGCCAAGCCCATAATTTCGTCCCCAACCATCAAGCGGGGTCGAACCAATGATGTCTCCCATGTTTTCCAATTATACCCATCTTTTTGATGATTCAGCCGGGAAAAGCCCAGATTGTTCCCACTAAATAACCCATCAGCCACCATTTATCGATGATACCCACTTTCAGCTTTAAAAAAAACGTTCAACGTTTGGTACTTAAATCAGAGAAAATGATTGTCATGCGCTAATTTAACTTGGCTATGGAAATCACCACTATATAAGATGATAGGCAAATCATCGAACTAAACGGGCCGTGGCTTCCATAGCAAACTCTCACTTTACTGCAGATTAGTGTTGTTTAAATGTCCGATGACATATTTTCACAAACCTCCCAATATGGTTGGTTTTTTTTATCAGTCTCATACCCGATTATGGAGGATCAAATCAGAGAAAATGGCCTCCAGTGCCGGAAAATCAGCCATAGTTGGATGATTTTTCCCATGAAAAAAACCTGTTTTTCACCCATTTCCCAGGCATCTTTGGGTTCCAAGAGAACCAATCCACCGTTGGGGTGCCCCACAAAGGCCGCCTCAGCACGGTCCAAAGTTTCAGCGCGCCGGGAGACTTGACACCCCGGCACCGCGGCGCAAACCTGCGGTTTGCGACGTGCAATGCTCATGTCATTGGCACACGGTGGGAAAAATCTAGAGGAAACATGAGGAAACTATGGTTTTTGCCATCAAACCGATCAAATATGGCTAAATATGGGGCTTTCCTGCAAATTGATGCAAATTGTCCCACCAATCCAATGATCATGGTGTGTTCTTTTCACCTGGAAAATGGAGAAAAATGATGGAAAAGGATGAATTCTCCAGGAAAAACTCAGATGGAAACAAGGTTTGAAGTTTGGGGGGAACAATGGTGAAACAATGATTTGAACATTGTGAAAAATGAGGAGGAAAGAGTGGCTTTTCTGGAAATGGTCGAAGAAACTTGACTGGGAGACCCATGGAAACATCCAAATTGAAGCTGCTGAATGGAAATCTTACAGTGAAAAAAAACAGTTGGATGTATTTTCCCTGGTTTCCGGTAGGAATCGTCTTGCAAAACGAAGGTCTGTGCGCATGGACTCTGAAGCTTATGGTGCAGGTCAGCCTCCAAATATGCTCGCCTGATGCGTGCCTTACAAGCATGGCCAAGCGTTTCCCAGCAGATGGCAGGATCAAGACCACTGCAGGCCACAAATCAAGCTTTCAGAAAAGTGAACAAATACCTCCGCCTGGAATTGGATTTTCATCTAGTTTGAACAACTTTTTGCCCAGCAGTCCCAACAAAAACTAGGAAAACCTCATGAATCACTTGGTCTGAAAAAAGGGTATGGTTTAAAACCTTCATTTTCTCCATTCACATTGCTAGATGGGGGCCCATTCTCAGACACACCCATATCCATTGCACATGGCTTCATGCCTAAAGAATGTTAAATCCGCTTTACCTTCTGGGAATTTAACATAGCTATGGAATCTATGGAATATGACCATGTATAGTAGGTAAATTATCAATAATTATCATAAATCTTCATAATTCAATTTTTGATAATTGTTGATAGTTTATACATGGTCATATTCCAATTAAATGGATCCATATTCCAATTAAATGGATCCATATTTACCTACACTATATATATATAATTATATATATATCATATATATATAAATCATATATATATATATAAATCATATACACACAGTTTATCAATAAATTCTGTGCCATTTTCATCCATGGAATCCAACACGCGAAGTGTTTGCGGCAGGCGACCCAGAGCTCGGCCGCCTCGGCGATGCTGCACTGGTACCTTTTTAGCAGATGGATCCGGCAATCCATGGGAAATTCATGGGATTTAGTGGAGATTTAGTGGAGATCTAAGCAACCAAAACAGATTCAAAAAAATGAGAATATCGTGAGTCATATCATACATATCCACTTAGTATCTTCTTCGTATGCTTGCCACGTTAAGATGGAATGACCCCTTCTCTTTCGGGGCTCAGCACTTCTCTCCGCGCGAGGTCAGATAGTCCGTCAGGGCTTGTCCATCAACTGAGGTGATCCATGGCGCACAAGAGACCACATCCCCCAATCATCACATTGCCTCGGGCCGCCTCGCAGAAACATGTTCTGTCACTTGTTGAGGCCACAATAAAAAAGGCAACGCAGTTCAAAATTGACTGCAAGTAATGTGCGAAGAAATTGTCCCCTCCTGCAGGCGGCGTCGAGCATCCAAAACAGCCTCCAACCTCATCTCTTCGGTCTAACATTGGCAAAAGGTGTGTTGAGGGAAAAGCCAAGCACGTGTCCGGTCGAGAGATAGATACTCTACCTGGAAAAAAAAACGGGGGAAAAAAGCCTTGACCGAACAAGAATCCCGAGACATCCGTTGCCATAGGCCATGAATTTTGCATTGAACAAGTGGAAATTGCACTTCGGTCTTTGTTTCAAAAAAAATTGCATAACTAGACCTCACTGATTGATCTCTTGCAAGAGGCCGCATGGGACCCCGGGTCCCCGCACTGGCTAAGCGGCCACGAGGGTGTGTGCAAATCCCTTCCCAGCCAGTGCTGAGTAGCCTCTCATCACAGCTACTGAATGTTTAACGGAGGTTCGCTGAGACCCTGAGTGGTGCGGAAGTGGGGCCCACCCAAACGTACTTCAACACCATCTCATAATGGGGATGTTGATGGATTTTGTGGGATTGCGGGCCTCAATTCTTTACCATCAGTCCCTACCCAAAGAAAGCTAACAAATCTCAGTCCCCTGCACTGCGCACGAAGACCTTAATCTCGCTCAAGCAACGCAACCTGAACGTCGAAGTTGCCAAGGTCTGCAGGGGGCAAGGGCCAATCAACAGTGCAGGAGGTGGGAGGGGTCGGGTGTGGGATACAATTAAATTGTATTCAAACCATTGAACAAATACACGGTATCTCATCTGTAAACTTATGGTTTGCCAAGATGATACGTCAAAACCCTGGACTGAAACAAGCTGAAAACATCAAATGACATGGACAAATTGCTTCAACTTTCAACCTGGGACAACGTTGAGCAGCTTACCCATAGTCGGCGCGCAGTGCATCAACCTGAGTCAAAGGACACAGTGGCACCGTCATGGCGTGCACCTGTGTCGACTGGGTCCCCGGCAGCCGCCGCCAGCCGCTCCTCAAAACTGCCGGAACCTGGAAATCAATTGTCTGATGGCTAAATTGTTAATCCAATTAAGAGGTTGTTCATAGTTTTTCAAAGAATGCTCAACAGTTCATGACCCACAAAAATTTTGCAGCCCTGGCTGAGATCTGCATTTTTTGTGGCCCTGGCACTGTTTCGTTTCAGCATTCCATATCCTCTGGTAATTTAACATAGCTATTTTTTTCAATGGCCCATAGAAATAGTTGGTTTACCTATTAAAAATGGTGATTTTCCACATAAATCCCCATTTTCCCATGGTTTTCCCATGGTTTTCCCATGGTTTTTTGTATGTTTGGGTATCCCATGTCCTGAGACTCTCACCGGCTGCACAAAGCGATTTCAAGCGCTGCAGCGTCTCCAGGTCGGCAAGAGCACTGGTGCCTCTGGCAACACCCCCAATTACAAAAATTAAATGGGCATGTAAGTTGTCTATATTTATATACACAATCATATATATATATACACGATCATATATCAATAGATACAAAATCATATATATATATGTTATATAAACATGTAAATATGTGTATACAATGATTATATATATAACATACATATATATAATCATAAATATATATAATCATAAATATATATATAATCATGAATATATATATATATATACATAATCATATATAAACGATTAAATATAATCATGTATAAACAATGAACAATAAGCATATTTATTTATACATATATTCATATACAATCATATACATATAATCATATATGTATAATCATACATGTACAATCATACATATGGGTATATTCATTTATATGATCATATTTGCATATAATTATATATATAATAATGTGTAATCATATGTAATCATATATATGTATATATATATATACATATATCTAGTAATATATATATATATGTATATATTTGTATAATCATATATGTAATCATGTATATACAATCAAATATATGTGTATATATATATCATCAAATATAAAATATCATAGATGAAATCAGATATATATATAATCATATATATATATTCATATATGTAATCATATATATAACCTTTTATGCAATCAGATATATACAATCAGAAATAGAATCATGTATATAATCATCTATATACTCAGATATAAATAATCAAATATATATATATATTCATATAGATAGATTTATATATATATAATAATACTAATAATAATATAATATATATAATCATATATATATATAATCATATATATCTGTAATCATATTTATAATCATATATATATAAATAATCATATATATAAAATCATATATATATAGGGCGGAAGCTGGGGGTTCCCCGGAAGCCAATTGCAATTTAATTGTATGGATATGGAAAATGTTGATTTTATACTGTGTTTTACAGTGTTTTTTGCCTTCCCTTGAAAGTGTTCCATCAGTGAAAGTATCAATGCCGGCGCGGATAAACTCGGAGTTTGTCCGCGCAGAAAAATGATAAATTTACATCTTCCATGGATGGCCAAAAATGCGTTCAACATTTGTCCCATTGGAATTGCGGTTTCATACATTTTTTCAGTTTTTGTTGATAAGTACAAAATGTCATAATCCACTGGAGAACCATGGACGAAATGAACATCACATATTTTTCATCTTCGCTTTCCCAAACCTTTTTTTTGGCATGGCGATGGAAAACGTTGTTTTCACACTGTGTTTTACAGTGTTTTATGTTTTTCTCTGAAATGGTTTGATCAATCGAACTTCCATTTTCATCGCGGAAGAACTTGACGTTTGTCCGTGCTGAAACAGGAAAATTTTACATCTCCCTTGGATGACTAAAGATGTGTGGAACATGCTAACCATTTGAAGTGCGGTTTCTTTTATTTTGGTCGTTCTGTTCAGAAGTAGAATATGTGATAATGCACTGGAGAACCATGGACGAAATGAAGAACGCACCTTTTTCATCTTCATGTCCACAAAGGCTGTTTGAAGCAGTTGGCAGGAGCGAGAGCACCATTGGTTTTCCAACCAAGCAACATCTTCCAGGATTCAACATCATCCAACGCACTTCACATGACGTTATTACACCCCCCCCACCCCCTTCTGTAAACAACAACGGAACTTGCAACGTAGCAACATCTTCCAACCAAGCAACATCTTCCAGGATTCAACATCATCCAACGCACTTCACATGACGCTATTACACCCCCCCAACCCCCCTTCTGTCAACAACAACGAAACTTGCAACGTAGCAACATCTTCCAACCAAGCAACATCTTCCAGGATTCAACATCATCCAACGCACTTCACATGACGTTATTGCACCCCCCCACCCCCCATCTGTATACAAGAACGACCTTTCTGGTATAGCATCAAGACTGAGGGTTCCTCGAAGCTCCGGGGAACCCCCAGCCTTGAGCCTATATATATATAATCAAATATGTAATCATATGTATATATATATAATCAAATATATATATATAATCAAATATATATATATATAAATTCATATGTATATATAATCATATATATAGTCACATTCATGTAGCCATAAGAGAAAGTAATCCTACATGTGTATAGTTATACATAATCATATTAATATGTATATAATCATGCATGTATATATATACATATTTAATCGTATATACATAGTCATGTATAAATAATCATGTGTATAATACATACATTTATATATATATATACATACATCTAGTCATGTGTATTTACATACGTATACATATATTTTTTTAATGTGGTTGACCACCTACTAAATCTACCATGTCATTGGGAAACTCCGAACCGATCCCTCCAGGAAGCAACGGAGAGTTCTTCGACCCTCCATGACAAATCCAGGTTTTGATGGGAAAATCCTCTATGGGGATTCTCCAGTGCCACGTTTGACTGGATGGTACAACCCAATGAATATTATTACTAGAAATGAGACTGAATTGTTTCAGGCGATGTATCTGTGCAGCCATGGCAAAGTATTCCCGTGACATGTGTGGTTGGGCCAAAATGCTCAAGAACCCACAGGTTTTGCTTATGTTTGTTTTGGTATCAAATCTATTGTTGTCTCGCAATTTTGGCCTCTACCCGCTGGTGAATTAATATAGCTGTAGAAAATGACCATTTATAATTGATGTTGCAGTCCCTATTAAGAATGGTGATTTTCCATAGCTCTGCTAGTTTATTGGAGGATACCAGTTTCCCCATTTCCCACCCAGCTCTCCAAGTCACAGTCAACTGGGATTCCCCCACGCTTTCGCACAGGGCGGCAGTGAAATATCAGCGATTCGCATCCAACGCTGGCAAAGAAATAGCTCAAGCCACCTGAAAAGGAGAAAAACCCATCGGAAAACGATCCCATTCGCATCCCAATCTTTCAAAATGCCCTGGAGTCTGAAAAATGATGAAAGCCAAATCATATCCCATTATTGTGTATGTACACAGTACATATGTCATCCAATTATATCCTATTGTGCTGTCCACCCAAATGCCAAAGCTTCCCATGGAGAAATCCAAAACACCCTTCGTCAAGAGACGGACGCACTTCTGGCTGAGGCCTGGCAACTTTCGTGCTGATGTGATTCTGACTTATGGCAAATATGTTTAGATATCTATATAATGTATAGAGTATATCCAATGTGTTCCTTTGTCTATATATATATATATTTCAGTAGCGGGCCGCAATCCCTGAGCTCAAAGTCCTGCCTTTCGGCGCAAGCTTTGCACGTCGCTTGGGCGAAGCAACCTGCAGTATGGTCATCCCACCATGAGGGATTTCAAGAATCATCGGGGGATAATCATGATATGGTTAATATGGTTAATATGGTTAATATTAATGCTTAATATCAATGCTTAATATGGTTATAATCCGGGGTATCTCCCACTTTTTCAACAAACCTCACCAAGCCATACCAAAATTGACAAAGCAGGCGTCGCCTGGGACTTCCTCATCACCTTTCCAGGCCTTGAGGCTGTGCCTTTCCTGCGACACTGGGATGCTTTTGTTGTTCAACGCTGCTGGCCTTTTTGGCAACTTGCCATCATTCTGAGAGTTGCTTCCTTTGATGATAGATCATGATAGCAATGTTGCAAGGTTTTGTGGAGAAGAACCTGCAACATCTTGTTGATTTACTGAGGCAGCGGAGGTTTTTTCAGGATGCATCTCCAAGAGTCGATGAATATATCAATTCCAGCGAGCAGCTACAAGTTGGTTGAGGATTCCCAACCAAACATCTCTGAGACATCAATCCCAACCAACCCTGGAATCATCCCACCAGTTGGCCTCGGCGGCCTCGACCGCTTCGAAGCGTCACACTCGAAGGTTGAGCGGCGCTTGGGTCTTTGAGCCTGGGGACTTCGCCGCGTGCTGCTTGGATCATGGATTGAATCGAACATCTACCGGCGACCACAATTTTTTTATCCCCGAGAATATATATATATATATATGAATAAATATAGAAAAAACATGAAAAAACTGGGGAAACAATATGGGGGGCTATGGAGTTGAGATTGGGTGCACATCGAAAATGTAACCAACACCTCCCTATGGCCTCAACTGTCGCCTGCTTTGAGAGTGGTGCAGCCATCATGTGCTTCTCCAAAGCGAGGCGTTGCTCCGGATTCAGCAAAGCCTCCACAGATGGCGGAGAATTTTGGGACTTTAATGGGATTTAATTGGATTTATATAATGGGACTTTTATATCTAAAGAGGATTGCCCAGCAACTAATCTAGCAGTGATGTTTCATCTGTACAACTGGAATCACAGCCCCTGCTCTCCAAAGTCCGGAGGTTCGGAAACAGACCCAAAAAAAGCCTAGGATCCTCCCAAGCTGTTACAGTGCTGTCCGCTATATCCACTCGCATTGACTCTTGACCATTGCAAAACTCCTGACTAAACTGATGGCTCAAGAAGAAGACGTGTTTGATGACACAACCATCAAAACAAAAAATAATCGAGAATGATTTACTGAAAACCCAAATCATGGCTAGATTGTTTTGTAATATCTTCTTTAATGTCGTAATTTCTGACATTCAGAATTGTTCCAACTTGGCTGGGGCTGCGGGCAATGCTTTCCCGTCGCTTTTCAGGACTCAGACGTCTCAACGTCTCTGCCACCAGCTGCAGAAAGCTCCTCCGCAGTCGCACCAGGTCAAAATCGGTTTTGGCCCAGGAAAAACATAGAAAAACCATTCATTTGGGGCATTGTCTAGCCTCGACCATTCATCTTTGGCAGAATCTTTGGGTATCCTTTTTTTGACTCATTTCCCAGGGGTTCAAGGACGGTGGAACCATCAAATTTGAATCGTTTCAAGGCACAAACAAATGGACGAGAAAGGCATCCAAGTTGGCGAATTTCAATCAAGTGGAGGGAGTGTTTGAGTACTGTTTGGGTACCTCAAACCAAAATCATTCATTTCGAGGGGAGTTTCAGGCACAGAGACACCAGTCGACCTTGAAGGGCCGAAGCTTTTTGCAGACGGCCTGTCACAGACCGATTGATTTATGGCATATTTTACTGTGGGAACTGTGGTTTAGCTGATATGGAATGTGTTCCATGGCATTTTCCCTTGAACCAATTCCACGAATCTTGGCCGGAGAGGGGTCGAAAGCTTCTTTGTTCCAGCGAAACTTTCATTTGGAAATAAGCGTCATACTGGATGTAAACATTTATATATGTGTTGTCATCGTTATTATTTAAAACATATGAAAAACATATGAAACATTTTAAGCACATATGAACTCATATTAATATGTTTCAAATGAAGCCAATTTAACGCAACGTAACATAGTGTCACGTGATGTGATGTGATGCAACGTGACGTGATGTAAGGTAATGTAATGTAATGAGTAATGAGTAATGTAGTGTAGTGTAATGTAGTGTAATCTATGCTCACATACACATACATACATGTGTGTGTGTGTGGTTCATTTATATACGTACATCATGTTCGTACATGTATACGCTTGTCTACATATGTACATGTATACATATGAATGCGTACAGAAATACATATGTACATATATATATAATATATATATATATGTAATCATATATACATGTTTACATATCTACATATCTACATCTACATATAATATTTATATAATTCAACATATATACACAATGTATCACAATGTATACATCAGTTTACACTGATATGAATCTGATATCAATCTAACTCTGGGAGGAGCGGGATCAGCATCTGCCAGCCTTCTTGGGAGGCCTCCTACGTTTCGACCGATTCGCTGCACTTGGAGCTGCGGGAGTTGACCCATGAAGGCCAGGAACTTTTCATTAGTGGTGACATTGATGATGTTTACATCGATAAAGCAAAACAAAATCGTGGTGAAAATGGGGGTATCCATGGGTATCCCACGTAGCCATGAAATATGGCGAAGCTGATCCATCATGAACTAAAAAGGGGACTGTCGGTCCTGGCGATGCTCGAAGTTCCCAGACCTTGGCCGAGAAACACAGACCTGGTTTAGCCTCCGGTCATCAAAAAACGGCAATGGCCCTAACAGGTTTACAGCTGGGAACATCTACATCATCTACTGTATAAATTTTAGAAATGGGGAAAATTCGATTGCCATGAGTACAGAGTCATTGTATGATAACCCCAAGTTTTTACCAGCAAAACCCGGCCACTAAGGATTAGCAGTTAGCAGGGATTTGGGGCTGGTATTGCTCAAATTGCGGGCTGAAGCTTCTGTCCAAAGGGAAACCAAAGACAAGACAAGGCCCTCTGTATGACAGTAACCCGGCACAGTTTTCATGTTTTTTTGAAGGGTCACCCCTCCGGTTTTGCACAACTTCGGAAGCTGAGTCCGTATCATATCTGAAATGTGTTGCTTTTGTCTGATGTCTTTGCATTTTGCCCTCAATCAAATGTGGCAATGAGAGAAATCCACTTGATGATTTTCCCAGCTGTAGGGCTATAAGTCTACCTCCATTTATGCAGGGAATGTTCCATTGCCATGTTTGAGCCTACGGGTGGAAAACCGAACCAGCGTTTTGCATGTTTCTATGTCTTTCATGGGGTAAAGGGGGTGGGGTGGGGGGGTGGGGTGGGGTGGGGTGGGCTGATAACGTTCACTTGCACTTCCTCACATACATGATGCTACGCTACTGTACGTCTTCTTGCACTTCCTCACATACATGATGCTACGCTACTGTACGTCTTCTTGCACTTCCTCACATACATGATGCTACGCTACTGTACGTCTTCTTGCACTTCCTCACATACATGATGCTACGCTACTGTACGTCTTCTTGCACTTCCTCACATACATGATTCCACGCTACTGTACGTCTTCTTGCACTTCCTCACATACATGATGCTACGCTACTGTACGTCTTCTTGCACTTCCTCACATACATGATTCCACGCTACTGTACGTCTTCTTGCACTTCCTCAAATACATGATGCTACACTACTGTACGTCTTCTTGCACTTCCTCACATGCATGATTCTACGCTACTGTACGTCTTCTTGCACTTCCTCACATACATGATGCTACGCTACTGTACGTCTTCTTGCACTTCCTCACATACATGGAGATGGGAAAACACTGGAACCAGCTTGTTTCAAAAGACTGCCAAAGTCTTGAATGAGACTGTCCAGTCTAGATGACTGTTCTTGGCGATAGAAAAAAACGCGCGCAGAAATGTGCTAAAACCTGCATATTTCAAGAAAACTGCAAAAAAAAAGATGCTGATTTTGGAAGCTCATGAATGCAGAAAACATTGCAAAACGCACGAAAAAGGCCAAAACACAGTGGCACGGCGAATATCATGAACTGAATTGTTTGCCAAAACCATGCGTTTCGCATCCAATGTCTAGAATATGAACGCCAAAAACAGACAAAACGTGGGTTCAGTTTCCCACCCGCCGGGATGTTTGACTACCCCAGGCGGGTGAAACTTGCCAAGTTCCCAGCTTGCTGCAGGGCGCTGTAGCCAGTGACCCCTAGCTTTTGTGCATCCATTGCAGGACCTGGGCTTGCTAATTCAACCAGCTCACCATAGAAGACAGCCCATCACATGGATTTTCCTGCCAACAAGCATAGGGTGTTTGAGAACCATTACATGGGCATATAAGACCAAGCTAAGTAGGTAAACCAACAGAACTGGATATATCGGATAATACATAATACGAAGTATTTTTCAAAACGAGATGAGTACTCTCGTTTTGACATCAAAGTGGCTGATTCATTGATCCACTGCCTCCTGGCACGGGAACTCATGGCACGGCTCCGTCTAAGAGTCTAAGCCACAGGCAGATCATCTCATATGCACCGTATCTCTATTATCCTCAGAACGGCGTCTTGAACTGCTGAAAAACCGATGGCAACCGATGGCTGCATGACTGGTTCCTTGAGGAAGGGGCTGTATTATTGGTATCTGTGGTATCATCTGCGCCACCATCTCTTCGTAGTTCGGCTCCACACCTGAGTCAAGTTGCTGTGCAACATCTCAAAAATTGCCTGCCATTTTGGCACATGCTAGTGGCCCCTCAACCAAGGTCTTTTGGTGTTAATGACACTCTTGGGCTGAGTCAAAGAAGCCGCTTATGTTCATCCAGGATCAATAAACCTTCCAGTTTATGAATAGACTGGTACCAATTTCAAAAAGTATATGATCCATCACTATTTTGGGGATTACTAGGAAATTAGTCAAGCTTATTCATCCGAGGTTGACATGGCGGAAGACAGGGGGCCATGAAACACTGTAAACTGATGCAGGATTTCTTCCACCAAAGTATGTTTGCACAACTTTCCAAAGCAAGAAATCAGCAACTGTTTGAGCCCAAACCCCTTCAGCTACCGTTGATTCCCACATCACAAAAGCCTGGGTAGCCTGGGTTCCCTGCGGTCAGATAACACCATTTGCGGCATACACTTTTGATTCGACATCTCCATTGTGTGTTGGCCTGTGGCTATGCTGGCGCCGGAGCAGCTGTTGTTTTTTATCAATCCCAAGGCCCGGTTTTGCATGGGCCTAAGGGACTCATAAAGCCTGAATCCCCTTCTACAAGATCAATCAGCCGAATCAGCCCAGCTAAAAAAAAGTGAGACCCCAAAACCCTGAGGTTTCTTTATACTGGACTAGCGAGGCTCAATCGCGGGCTGACACTACTGCAGCCGAACCTCGCCTCACGTGGCCTGTTGGAATCTAGAAATTTCGAGCACTTGTGGCAAGCGTGCAACAACACGACGAGTTGCAAACTAGCAGCAACAACGGAAAAAAAAAAAACGGGAATCTCTGGATATATCTGGATACCCCAATGGACATTCAACGGGAAAATTGGCAAAATGATGTTACCATGGTATGGGTTGATGGGGTACGATCTCAACTAACTCATGTCAACAGCAGCCCTTTTCTCCCCAACATGGTTGGACTCTGCTACACCAGGTCTGTTGCAAAGCCTTGGTGGATCAAAGACAATTACACTGCCTATTTTGTCATGGAGGACTTTCGACTTGTGCCTTTCTGGGGCGAAGTTGTCAAACAGGCCTTGCTTCGGTGTCTCCAGAGCTTTCCGAAACCCCTGTAGGTTTCAAAAAAATGTGTGTCTTGACTCTTGACGCACAGAAGTGCGTATATTTCGAGATCAACGCTTCGCGCCTCCCCAAGGTCTATCCATGGTCCTGTCAGCGCCGCCAACTTTGGCCGCCCGCGTGCCTTCCTAAAAAATCAACTGCAGCTGATGCATTGTTGACAAATACCCGATGGATGATAGGGATCCGAATCAAATCTGGGCTGTGGACGGACATGCAAATAATGGGTTCAATTTTTTGGGGGGTCCAAGACCGGGAAAGGATAAGTTGGTTGATTTTTTAGTATTCGATAGATGGGTTTTTGATATTTGATGCCCATATTCCTTGGCAAATTTGGACCTCTCAGTTCGCCAACCAGTTTTCCACTGGCTCACTCCCGAGCTGGTTCCAGCGAAACCAATGTGTCAAGCTGCATCCACCGCATCAAGCCGTTAAAATTTGCAGCAGCTGACGTCCAAGAGGCAATGTTTAATAAAGGTGTTTGCTAGTTGTTTCGGTGTGTACACCACAAGTAATCGCTTCAAAAATCTGCGTTGCTCATCTGAAAGGACATCTCGCTACCTACTGAGTTACTGTCTAAAAATGTCAGATTTGCTGAGGAAGTGGTCCCACTAACTCAACAAATGAATGGCTACCATACTCCGTTGGCCATTCATGGCTAAATCGCCTCAAATCTAGCCTCTGGACGTTGCTGGTGAGACATAAAAAGCCCTGACTGTCAGGCTGGGACAATTCTGCGGATCACGACATGTCAAATCTGTTGAATTATCATTGGTTCTCAGGACACTCTCAGGGGAGTGATGGCACAGCATGTTCTAGCATTGTCCATAGCAGCCGAACCAGTACAATCTTGTATATGACATCAGTTGCAAGTGGGAAACGTAGGAAGGATAAGGTTTCAGTCATATGTATCCTACATGCTTTGCCATCTCCTGCTGCAAATTTCAACTAGCAGGAGTTCACCCCAAGCACAATCCAGGCTGGCCATTTAAGCGTCAAACGGCTGAGTAGCGCAAGATGGTAAAGTCAACAACTTCTGCCTCCAATCGTCTGCAAATGTCACAAGAAATACTTAATTGCATATCACCTGAAGCCAACAATCAAAGGGGAAAACCCTGCGATCGAGGCATGGACTCACAATTCTTCATACTCTTCGTGCATTTCATCACACAAGCAACAAACTTCCCGTCCTCCTTAAGTTTCTCGATGAGTGCAAATCCCTGCAGGGACTCATCGCCGCCAATCTTCACAATACGGTCGCCCACTCGGATAGCGTCATCGGGGTGTTCAGCATTCCATTTTGCAACAACACCTGGAAGATGGCTGCGGCTGCACTGATCGTGCACCTAATTTTTGTTGGGTTCCGGAAGAATCTGTAGAATACCTCCATGGCCACAATTAATATGGATCCCCCCGTATAAGCGGCGGTCATCACCACAGCCGATCCTCCTTCTGGAAGTTCTGTCACGACAAGCCTTGGATAACAGCACGGCAGCCCCCGATGGTCACATCCTCACTATGTCCCACCTACTCTGTCGTTCTTTTTCACCACTCTTCACTCTTCGCCAATATTTGAGTCAGTGGTTATCTTGGTACTTGTCGATCTACTTATTCATCTGTCTACTTTAGTTCATTCTACATTTTTACCTAGTCAGTTGTTTGTTTATTCCCACAAAAAAGATCTAAAAAAACAGGGATATGTTTAGATGTACAAGAATATCACTACATCTAATTGGGGGAATACTAGTTGTTAGATATGTTTATCCAATAAATCTAACCTTGTGTTCTCTTTGGGATCACCGGGTCACCATGTCTGCCATCGCCGAGCTACGCAGGCGAGTTGTCCTTAAAGTCGAGCTGCACTCCTAGCTGCTGCCCGGTCTTGTCGATGACCACAGGCCTCTCCTGGAGTCCAATGGTTCACCCTACATGGAATATTACATCATATTACATAATATATATATAGTACATTTATATATAATTATATATATATATGTAACAATTTTTGACATATCTCCTGTAATTTATATAAATGTCATAATTTCTCATATCACCCAACAGAATAGGGGATATCATCTCCAATAGATATACTTTTTTAAAAGTGATGTTCAAAATCCCCCAAGCAGAACTTTGACCAACCCCTCCAGAAGTGCCGCGGTTGACCAACAAACACTTGCAACAAAAACTGGGGGAGGAGGGAAAAAAACTGGTTTTTACTGTTACCAACATGGGGACGTTACTTTTACCCAATCAAAAAGTGTGTGGGGTTGACGGGGTTGACAAACAAAATGCCAGTGTTCTGGAGTAAGAAATCTGGAGAAATGAAATAAATGAATCAAGCAACAAACAGGGGGCCCATGATGCCATGGGACTTGTATATATATATTATATATATATAATTCATTGTGTCAATCCAAGAAAAAAGGATATGGGGTCCACATCTCTGACCCAAAGGCTGGATGAGACCCAAAAGCTCTCCCGCGGCCGAGTCATCTGCAGGGTGAAGGTCTCCTGGCGAATGGGGTGATACCACCAATGCCCATGCTTCATCATTTTAATGCTTACCAAACGACTTGACCCACAAAAAAAATATGGGATCTCTGCTCTGTGAACGAAAAACAAGGAGATATCAGTGTTCACTCAAGGCAACCTTCAGGTCCCACCTGGGTCTAACACAACGTTCTGCTGATTTGCCATGTGCTTTATTTTAGCCCCATATCACCACAAACCGACAGCATTCTTCCCCGTCTTTAGCTATGAGTTACTACTATCACAGGATTGAGAAGAACAGGTAGAGATTTCCAATGACAATGTTCTCACTTCCGTGGTATTCAAAATTTAGACACAACCAGATATCATATTATTGCTTGGATCCCGTCATATCCCACAAGTATGCATCTTTCAGAGATACCAACTGTTCTATCGCGTTATATCCCGTCAAAATCCATTGTGATCCATTATGTCCGGATCCACTACATTCGAGTATAATCCATTATCATCCGTGATAATCCATTATCATCCACTTTGTAATCCATTATAATCCATTATCATCCACTTTATATACGGTGTATATATATACATACAGCATGTCCTTCATGTGCCAGGCTGTGTCCTTCATACTGAAGAGCATATCATGGAGGTCCGTAGCATTGCCTGTCATGCCGTTCACCGACTTGATGCGATCCTTGGATCAGATCTGACTGCACTACCGTGGATGGTTTTGTGGTGAATGGTTTACCAAATTATGATGAGGATATTGTGGGATTGAATGGGAGTTTTATTGGATTTTAATGGGATTCTATGTGATTTTTTATGGGATTTATGGGGATTGATGGGGATATAGTGATGATATCATGGGGGTAGAGCCAGTGAAACTGCAGAGAGGTCGTAGTCAAGGTCAAGTTTATCCGGATAGGATCTGATGTCCAGGATAAATCGACTCCCAGAAATTTACCAATCGGGAGTCCCATGGTATGTTAGCATATGACATCACTGGGGCTAACCACCCTGATACCAACAGAAATGAAGGCCTCACTTGCCATCGTTCTCCCAAGAGGCGAAACGTTTCACTTCTCGCCCTGGCGTCCTCATGTTGTGTTCATTGAACACCCCATCATTGAGGATCTGCGTGATCGTCGGGCCTGAAACGGCGCTGAGCCCCTGATTTTTAGCTGGAGATGCTCATTCTAGTGCTTGAAGCTATGAATATTCATAGGGGCAACTTGCATAATATATATATAATATTATATTATATACATATACGTATGTATATATATATCTGAAAGCAGCGAGATTTGTGGGCGCTGAGAGCGCTGGCCTCTCATATATATATATATACATATGCATATACATACATATACATGTACATATACATACACATATACACATACATATATATATATACATATATATATATGTATATTAATACAGATATATACATGTATACATATATATATAGCTATACACACATAATAAATATATATAAACATACGTGCTTATATATATACAGATGTATATATATACATATATATTTATATACAGTACATATACATGTATATATATATACATATCTTATATATATATACAATTATAGACATATACATTTATAGACACATATATATATATACACACATAATGACATCAATATAGATATACATACATGTGTATACGTGTATGTATATATATATACACACATTTTATGTATGTACATATCTTTATGTATACGCATATATATATATGGTACTTTGTACCTACCAAATTGGCATTTTTATCGGTATTTGCAATTTGTATTTAAAAATACATTGAATAACATTTTTTAGACATAATTTTCAACTACTATTGGGGGGTGCCATAGATCAATATTCTGAGACTCTTGTCTGGCCCATATGGGGGAATATGTTTGCTTTTATATAAATAATTGTGGGCAATAGTTTCAAAAGGGCATATCATATATCTACATATGTAATCAACTAACCAAGATGGAAGGGAAGACCAAAAACAATAAAAAATAACTGCCTGAAGTCACAAGTTTTGGTTGGTTTGTTTTACCGAAACAACCAAAAAAAACCGGAAACCCTGAAAAATTCGATCAAACTAAAAAAACCATGCAAGCCAAGAGCCAGGCATAGTTCTGTTGTATATTATATCATATCGTATATTATGTATTCTGGAATAAAGATTATAGATTGTAGATCATAGTTTATAGGTTATAGCTTACAGGTTATCTTATATTACGTTATATCTTATATTACATATATCATATCATTTTGTGTTGTGTTATGTTATCTTACGTATTATATTAAATCATCATGCTATACTATACTATACTATACTATATTATATCATAATATATTACGAAATGTCTTATCTTATCATATCATATCATATCATATCATATCATATCATATCATATATATGTGTATATATTATATATATATTATATACATATTATATATATATATACATATGTGTGTGTAGGTAAACGATTATAGGCGCATATCAATACATGCGTGTAGCCAGCTTAGAGCAAGTTGGCTCCAGTCATCAGCCTCTTTCGTCTATGAGATCCAGCTCAATGCCAAACTGCACGTTCGGTCTCACTTCTATCAGCACCTGAGGTGGCAAAGTTGTGGTAAGTTTGCATTCAGCAGCATATCGGGCGCTGATCAAGAATTCAATCCACAGAACTTGAGAGACTCCGGTCATGTTTCATTCTGGCAGTTTCTAGCCACTGCTTTTTGGGGGGGCAGTTTCTAGCCATGAATCCATGGTTGCTAAACCCCAATTTCGCTGAACCATCGAATTTTGGAGTACCCACCTGGCCTCGAAGTCCCCTTCAGGGATGGGTGCCCATGGTATTTGCACCGTGCTCTCAGACCGTCCTGCGGGAAGTTTGAACGCATCTCAGTGATGACCCCATGGACTTGTCTTCCAAATCTCTAGTTCCCGAAGCGTTGACTGTTGAAACATATCTGACATTGGAGGATCGCAGGTACATCTATCTTGCGTGTATGCAGCTGTAATCTACATGAGGATGGGTCGAAACCTCTGATTTCCCCATATGGAGAATGAAACATCCATAACTACAAGTTATTTTGATGTGAAAAGGGTTCCGATTTCAATCCGTAGCCACGTCCCAAAGTAAATTGTGTCCTCTTACTTCATCACAAATCACCGTTGCACGCGTGTCAACCTCTGCAACCTTATCATCTTCTGGACCACGGCAGCATGTACAAAACATGCGGGAAACGGCCCAGGGCCCCTCGACGGTTGATTTTGCAGTGCTTTCTGCAAGCATTTGAGCCCAAAAAGCAGCAGAACCCCCGGTGAAAAAGTGATGAACATGGATGTCAATGTCAACAGCACTTGGTATTCCTATTAGGCTAGCTCATAATTCCTAAATTATAAACCAGATGGGTTTTGGCCTACTAAAATAATCAAACAACAGTTGGGTTTTTTGTCATAGCTCATGTCAACGCACGATTCAATAGCTGCTTTAAGTCATATCTTTTCGCGTTTTACAGCGCCAGCCATATCGCAAGCAGCAAAAGATAGCCTGGGCACAGAACAGATCCCCAATCATGGCCAATCTTGGCCTGCAATGAAAAAAAATGCCAAGTTTTTGCTGGTGAGTAAAGCTCTAAAGCATACTAAGTAGCCATCCAAGGTTTGACCAGCAATATTGAGAAACGCCCACATTTGTGGAATGATTCCTGAATTTTGAGCCATACCCAAACCAGGCAAACCAAGCAAACCAGGGTCTGATGGCCCACACCTATCCCTGCCAGGATAATCGCCTCTTCTTGTTGGTTGCCTCAGCATCTGTCATGGCACCAGTGACTCAACTGGTACTCAACTGGCCAAGCAGCAGAAACAAGAACAGCAAAGAACAGCAAAGTCAATATGCTGTGGAGAAAAAATGGAAGACTGACTGGGGCCATTCATGCTGCTTGATTGGCTGTTTTTAGTAGGTGTGGGTATCCCTCAAAGATTATTAGTGACGCTTCAATACTGAAAGTGAATTTGGTGGGCCTGGTCCTACCCTATCTTTGGGTCCATCCCCGACTGGTTGTCTCCAAGTGACCTCCAGCCTTCTCTGAAGAAAGGCTGGCAGTGCAAAAGCGGCAGCCTCAAACCAGGCGGAGCAGATGTCCTCCTCCAGCTACCCCACAGCAGTGTACCCAGTTCTCCGGGATTTATCGACGTTCTCGTCCAGTGAAGCATCCACTGCTGGAAATTTCATTTATAATGTGATATATGCATGTATATACAGTATCTATACATAAATATATATGCAGCTGGATGGATGGATGGATGGATGGACGGACGGACGGACGGACGGACGGACGGACGGATCTAATATCTATCTATCTATCTATCTACCTACCTACCTATCTATCTATCTATCTATCTGTCTGTCTATCGATCGATCGATGGATCTATCTATCGATCTATCGATCTATCGATCTATCGATCGATCGATCTATCTATCTATCTATCTATATATATATATATCTATTTATCTATCGAAATCTAAATCCAAATCGAAATCGAAATCTATCTGTCGATATCTATCTATCTAAATCTATCTATCGAAATCTATCTATCTAAATACATCTATCGAAATCTATCTATCCATATCTATCTATCCATATCCATCTATCTCAATCTCTCTATCTAAATTTCTCTATCTAAATCTATCTATCTAAATCTATCTATCTAAATCTATCTATCTAAATCTATCTATCTATATCTATCTAAATCTATCTATCTAAATCTATCTATCTAAATTTATCTATCTAAATCTATCTATCTAAATCTATCTTTCCATATCTATCTATCTAAATCTATCTGTCTAAATCTATCTATCTAAATCTATCTAAATCTATCTATCTATCTATCTAAATCTATCTATCTAACTCTATCTATCCAACTCTATCTATCTAAACCTATCTATCTAAATCTATCTATCTAAAACTATCTATCCAAATCTCTCTACCTAAATCTATCTATCCAGATCTATCTATCCATCTATCTGTCCTACCTTTCTATCCTACCTATCTATCCTATCTATCCTATTCTATTCTATTCTATTCTATCCTATCAATCCATCCATCCATCCTATCCTATCCTATCCTATCCTACCCTACCCTACCCCACCCACCCACCCACCCATCTATCTATCTATCTATCTATCCATCTATCTATCTATCTATCTAATCTAATCTAATCTAATCTAATCTAATCTAATCTATCTATCTAATCTATCTATCTATCTATCTATCTATCCATCTATCTATCTATCTATCTTCCCATCCTATCCTATCCTATCCTCTCATCCTATCATCCTATCATCCTATCCTATCACCTTATCCTATCATCCTAGCCTATCCTATCCTTTCTTGTCTTGTCCTCTCCTCTCCTATCCTATCAATCTATCTACCTACCTAGCCTATCCTATTCTATCCTATCCTATCCTATCCTATCTATCTACCTAGCTATCTATCTATCCTATCCTATCCTATCCTTTGTATCCTATCTATTCTATCTATCCTATCTGTCCTATCTATCCTTTCTATCCTATCCTATCTATCCTATCTATCCTATCTATCCTACCTATCCAATCTATCCTATCTATCCTACCTATCCAATCTATCCTATCTATCCTATCTATCCTATCTATCTATCTATCTATCTATCTATCTATCGCTCTGTCTGTCTGTCTGTCTGTCTGTCTATCTATCTATCTATCTATCTGTCTATCTGTCCATCTGTCTATCGATCTATCGATCGATCTATCCATCTATCTTTCTAATCTATCTAATCTATCTAATCGATCTAATCCACCTTATCTATCTAATATATCTCATCTATCTAATCTGTCTAATCTATCTAATCTATCTGATTTATTTAATCTATCTAATCTATCGAATCTATCGAATCTATCGAATCTATCCTATCTATCCTATCTATTCTATCTATCCTATCTATCCTATCTATCCTATCTATCCTACCTATCCTATCTATCCTATCTATCCTATCTATCATATCTATCCGATCTATCATATCTATCGATCTAGCTCTATCTATCTCTATCTAGCTCTATCTAGCTCTTTCTATATCTATCTATATCTATCTATATCTATTTATAGCTATCTATATCTATGTGACTCTATCTATATCTATCTCTATCTATCTCTATCGATCTCTATCTATCTCTATCTATCTCTATCGATCTCTATCTATCTCTATCGATCTCTATCCATCTCTATCTATCTCATCTATCCATCTAGTCTATCTATTCTATATATTATGTCTATTCTATCTATTCTATCTATTCTTGTCTATTTTTTATATCTGTTCTATCTTATCTATCTTATCTATTGTATCTATCTCATCTATCTTATCTATCGTATCTATCTTATCTATCTTATCTATTTAATCTATCTAATCTATCTAATCTATCTAATCTATGCAATCGATCTAATCTATCTAATCTATCTGATCTATCTGATCTATCTAATCTATCTAACCTATCTAACCTATCTAATCTATCTATCTATCTGCCTGTCTGTCTGTCTGTCTGGCTGTCTGTCTGTCTATGTATATATTTATCTATGTATCTATGTATCTATGTATCTCTGTATCTCTGTATCTCTGTGTCTGTGTATCTGTGTATCTATGTATGTATGGCTGGATGCATGCATGCAATGCATGCATTCATGCATTCATGCATGCATTGATTGCATTGATATATTTATATCTATACACTAGGCCGGTGCAATGGACCTCCCAATCCTCTGGTCTGAGACCACTTCACCCTTCACCCAAGTGTAGATGGGTCTGTATATCAATCTATTTGTTTGTATTGGTAATTCAGAAAAAAATTGGGGTACCCCAAACCCTTTGTGTCCCCATCCAAAAGTCACAACCGTTCCATGATGTTGGGTGTCCCATCTTTTCACACAGTTTTCTTGAATATCTATGTATGGTATACATGATTCATTCTTGGTGGTCCCAAAAAAATCCAGCAGCAGAAGTCATCACTTTTGGATGTGGGTTTGTCTGAAAATATGGTACCCAACATCATCCTAATGATCATGTTCCCTAAATTTAATGATTCAATGACCATTTTATGGACCCATTTTAAGTTGAGCTCCCAGACGTGCATCTCGGACGTATAGTAACGCAACTCCATCTCTTGGGGCTCTCTTCGTGGCCAGCGGCAAGAGATCTCACCTCTGTGGGAGATCACCCAGCAAAAACATGGGCAGGTAACCAGCTGTCAACCTTGATTTGTTTGAGGAAAATGTGAGAGGAAAACATAGTTACTATCAAATACAGGGTGTCCTGTAGGGTTAGTTCTCCTTCAGCCCATTGAGGGAAGAGACCCATGTTTTTCAAATCTCCAGCAGTGCTGAGAACTGCAAAATCTGGTGCCAACGAGAGGAACCAAACAGGCCTTCTCCCAGAATTAGTTTAAGGAAAAATTTCCAGCAAGCCTACACTATACGGACGTTAAAGTCATGTATTTTTCCAATCAATTGACCCTTAAACCAACCCATTGAATTTAATGCTCAAAAGCTGCAATTTATGTCTCTGGTTTCCAGTTGAGTCACCCTTGCCACCACTCTTCCTGGCCATGAAGGCACCAATCTGCCCAGAAGGATATGTTGGAACCTTGGTCGTGTGCATGAAGGTTTCCAAAAATAAGGGGACCCCCAAGTCATGCTTGCGTCATTAGACCATTTTAGACCATTTTAGACCATTTTAGATCATTTTAGACCATTTTAGACCATTTTAGACCATTTTAGACCATTTTAGCATTGAAACTTGACGCAAGGGATCCCTCATTTTAACAAACTCCCAGATGATGGCGGATGGCAAAGATCACAGCGGTCTGCAGCTGGGTCCTCCCAGCCTGAATGCTGGCATACTCCGCACAGGCAAAGCAGGCCTGAAGGCAATGGGAAAGCCTAGAGAGGCGGACCTGTGACACGTATGCCAAGCCTAGATGCAATGAATGTTGAACTACGTCACAGCATCAATACAAGTATACATGTATATACGTATATATATATATATGCACAGATATTACACAGAGTCAAACCAAGGTGGCCATGGCAACTTACAACTAAAAACAATTCGGAGCTGAGAAGCTGACACCATAATCCTGCACCATGATGGAAATGAGCTCCTCACGGTGTGGTCACGCCACGAGGCGAATCGTCTTCCCCAAACGACTTGACGGAGTCCTCGTTGAGCCAGAGACACTCGCCCTGGGAGCAAATCACTCCCCCAGGCTTCAAGATCCGCTCAGCATTCCTGGGTCCAAAAAAAGCTTGCCCCACAACATCCGCTCGGCAAAAATCCACCAACCAAGGGGCACATAGAATGCTTTGGAGAACCTGGGGGCGCCAGGAGAAGTAAACATTGCCATGAAATACTTGTGTTATATGTACATATATATATATATAGCCCCCCCTAAGATCTACCTTTGATGTTTTTCCAGAGACATGCATGATGAAACTCACTGCATACTTCAACTACTTATGCAGTGAGTTTGATCATGCAAATTTTGTATGCACTTCAAAGAAGCAGTATCCCTACAACATATAGAGCATTCCTGTAAACATGCAGTGTTCTTTTCTGAAGAAGTGCAGTTTCCCTTCAGGAAATTATTCAGCCTTCGTTCAATCATACAGTATTTCTTTCAAAACACCAGATTCCTACTCAATATGCAGTGTGTGATTAACATTGAGTATTGCTGTGAAAATGTGCAATGGTTGATGCTCATTACAGCATTCCTTGGAAAGAAAGATTGTTGTTGAAGGAAAATGCTGCTTACAGGTTACAATCTGCCTTGAAGACAAGATAGTCCCTTGAACGAGAAGCACTATTTTTGCAAAAAAGTGTATGTGAAAAAATGAACTACATCCTTTATGGAGCTCAGCCTTCCTCTCATTTTCCTGTTGTGACCATTTTTTAATGAAAGACTTATATATTGTCTTCAAAATAATTGCCCTGAAGACAATGTGTTTCCTCAAATAACAAGCAACATTTTTGCAGAAAAAGAATACAATATATGGAAAGATGCAATACATTCTTTATGAAGTTCAGCCTCACTCTGAATGACAGTTGTCTTTAAAGGAAAGACTTAGTTTCTTCAAAATTATGTTGCCTATTTTGTTCAGGTGTTTCACTCATATGAAAGGGCCTTTTGCATGCATACAAGCGTGACATGTATCTTTCAAAAAGTACTACATACACCCGCGGGTTCTACTTCAAAGTAATGTGTTTGTTTTTGCATTAATGCATGGTTTTGAATCAAATGGATCACTCCCTTGTGAAGGAGGCTTTGCACATACTTGCACCAACCCCAACCCTGCTTTAAGGAATACCATCGCCGGTTAAAATCTTTACTTAAAGGATTCCATTTTGTCATAAATCTGTCCTCTTTCCATAAACTCCTTTACCTCTTGAACAGAACTTTGCACAGCTGTAAGTCCTTTGAAATAACTCTATATTCCTTTCAAAGAAATGCTGCACTCCTTTATAGTTTGCACAGCTGTAAGTCTCTTTGAAAATAACTCTGTATTCCTTTCACGTAAATGCTGCACTCCTTTATACAGTGAGACTCTATGCAAGGAATGGTGCGCCTTTATGCTAGGAATGTAATATTCTTTGAAACATACTGCTGCACACGGCCTATAATATTGGAGAATTTTGCTTTGACAACTAACTTCAAAGTCTATGCTGAAACCTGTTTACTTGTTGTATGTTCTAGTCTTGGCTGTCTGTCTTGTATTTTTTCTTATGGTCTTAAGTCACTTTCTGAGAGGGTGCTCAAAACCATGAGAACATCAGCAAATAATAGACACCTATTTGGATGGTGCACAACCAAATTTAGAATTACAGAATGCAGTATCTTGCTGAACCTACTGCTGCTACTCTTAAATGATGTGGGTGTGCATTGCAACAAAACCTCGACCGATAAAGCAATCCAAAACTTTTTAGATAATGTTTTCGTCTGAAGTTCATGCTTTGTTTTTTTGGGTTTTACTCCAGTTTCTGTGACTTGAGAATCTCAAGTCTGAAAAAGTTCAGACTTGAAATTTTCAAGTCTGACATTGTAAGGATCCAATAACCAAGATCCAAGATTTTCCAAAACTTTTCTTGGATCCAGGGCAGAAATTTTGGATCCAAATAGGATTGCTGGATCCAAGGTTTTCCAACACAAGTTTTTGACAGCTGTCCAGACTTGAAATCCCAAGTCTGAGGTTCCACCTGCTATCTCTAAATCTAATGTCATTTATGTGCATGCATATGTAAATGTATATGTATCTGTGTATGTGTATCTATTAAAAGTCTTCCAGGTAGATCTCGGGGGGGTACAATATATATATATATACCATGAAAATTTAATATATATTTATACTATAAAATTATGTTATGTATTATATAGTACATACTGTGAAATACCATGACCCAGGTCAATAAGATGCACATTCCGATGTGACGCTCTTGACATAAGTGTGATCAGCAGGTTACATCGTTATCCTTCACTGCCGCAACTTCTCTTTGAAGTCGTTGATATTCCAAGAAATCAGGGCTTCAGAAAGAAAACTGAACCAAATTCAGTAAGAAATTCAGTCAGAAGGGCTATGGTTCAAATTTTACTTGTAACACAAGTAAAACTTGGATGGTTCAATCACTGAGAATCCCCCAAATTGTCTAACCGTTCTTGGGGGATTCGCTGCCAAGAATCACCGCAAAGGCTCTAAATGGTACTCCATGGTTGACCCATTAAATGGTTGGTTGCTTGCCATTACTATATTAATCCCTCCAACTGACGTTCTATCGATTCTATATATATATATATCCCAGTTAAACTCATTAAAACCAACTTACCGTACCTATCGTTTTGGGACTCCTTCCTACCGCACGTCAAACAATTCACCTCTTTGGCGTGTGTCATAGGTTTATCGGAGTTATATCACTCTTATTAGTCACTATTAGGCTGGTTAGACCCCAATTGATCAGTGTTCAAAACCTGCTGTCATCCATATATTTTTGTTGGTTCATAGATTCATGAGTATCCCTATTCTGGACTATAATTATCCCCGGTAAGCCGTATGATAAGACCCACTGTAGAAACTAATCAACCAAGGTGCTAACCCCCAATTTTGTTTGGTTGGTTAATTCCATTTTTTTCTGTTAGTCACTATATGGTTCGTTAAACCCCCAATCGTTATTCCACTATTGCTATTACTATTCCTATTGCCATTTACTAGTCCTATTACTATCACTATTCCTCTCACTATAATTACCTTCCTACTAGTCACTAATACCACTGCTTACTATTTAGTCACGATTAATATTAGTCGCCATTCCCATTTGTCACTATTTGGTGATATAAAACTCGTAGTCACTGTCAGTCACTATTTGATTTTGTTACTAATTTGGGATATAGCACTACAAGTGATTAGTAACTTCCATACTAGCAATTAATCCAACAGTGACAAAAGCCACTTTAGTTACTGCGGAAATATAGAACTGCTAGTCACTTTTAATGTTGGACTCTAGCTATTCGTTGTCAAAAAACTTCAGTCAGCTGGTGTAGCTAATCCAACAGTGTCCTCTTCCAACTGACACCAGCAGCTAATCCACACCAAAGCCACAACTTCTCTGCAGGTCCCACAGGGTCGGAGGAGTCCACGATGATCACGTCGTAGCAATTTTCCTACGAAAAAACGCCGGCAAAGCGCAGTCCCCAGGACGCCGGGAACGCGAACATGGGAGATTTGACCAGCAATGCGGGGTGAACGAACAAATATAAGGATTGAAAAATCCACAAGATTTAGAGATTTGAGCAACAAAATGTGGGAAGTAATGAAAAAATGTGGTAACAAAAATGTGAAGTTCAGAAAAAGGCGGAATTCACCAGTAGGGATCGAAACTCACCAGGTCTACAAGGATTGTCCGGGGGATGGGCTCCCGCAATTGGCCATTTTTGTTATGAATGTCATGCTGATTGGGAAGATGATGATGGATATGATGGATCATAGGAATTTGGGCTACCCTATTTCCACGACCACACATGTTTGGTCACAGTGGAGGACCGAGCCAAAGTCCCCTGATGTTAACAGTGGATCCCCAGTTGATAAAAGACTGTGCGAAAAAATCGTGAGAACTCATCAGCAAAAAATGGTACCCCCAAAATAAAAACCCACCAGGCTGAAATCAGTTTCGGAAGGCGAAAATGAAGTCCTTGGAATTCTCTGCAAATGCAACGCCTTAGGGCCCGAAGCTTAAAAAAACAGGCAGTAGAGCTCAAATCGAGTTGAAATGCCGAAATGCCCTGAATTAATGGTTGATGAGTTGGTCAATGGGGATTTTGAGTTCATGGATAGTAATGCCTTCTATAGGAGCTTTTGAAACTGCCCTGATAGCTATGATGAGCTGTACGGTCATTAATTTCAGTATCGGTAGCTGTGGAGTAAGATGTCCAGTCCTGAAACAAGCACTTTACCCGTCTGATTGAACAATATTTAGCATGTGGAAAATCACCATGTTCAATAGGTAAATTTAGGTAAATCATCTATATCTGTTCCATAGCTATGTTAGTTTGAGGGAAGGAAAACCCAAATGTTGGCGCAACTTACATCCCCCAATGGGATTTTCAGCCAACTGGGGGTTCTTGTTGAAGAAAACCCACCAAGACCCTGCAGTAAACTCAGTAAACGAACACAGCCATGCAAAATGGCAAAGTTTGGCAAATCATCTATGGGTCATGGTTTCCATGGTTTCCATGGCTATGTAACAAATATTAACAAATTACCAGAGGGTAATCCTTCATTCTTGGGGATTGCGAATACCTCACGAACTGACCAAGTCTGGAAATACGAAAATCCACCAGCTTCGTTCAGGTCGAGTCACCATCCCCCACCAAAAGCTCCACCTTGGGGTCACCTCACATCAATGACTTTGGCGAGACATTCTCCGATCTCAACTGGGTATCAACTCTTTCTTCAGCCTGACCACCAAAAAAAATACCACAAAATGGGCATTTCTACTACTCATCATCCAATTTTCAGAACAAAAATCCCCAAAAAAAATGGGTGCTGAATGGCCCCAGCAGATGGCCTACCGCCTTTGCCACACTTGGCAGAAATCGTTTGGCAGCTTCCACCACGTCACCGTCGATTTCACACCAGGTGACCTTGAGATCCAGTTGAGTGCTTCAACATGGTTCAACGATGCTGGGGATCCTATATTGGGGCTTAAAGGGGTGGATATTGGGGAGAAGGGACTATATGGGGATCTCTTTTCACAATGATTTCGACTGAGACTCGTTTTTGTTTCTATTTAAAAAGAAAGAAAACGCAGAAGCAAAACTGCGAAAGCTCCCGAAGATTCACACAGGTTCTTCATTGAACTCTTTTCTGAACCTTGTTTGCGTCTGATCCCATACCTCTGTCAGATGCTAAAATGAGTCAATATTTACGTTTAGGGGACTCAAGTAGCATCTAGAATATCCTCCAGTGAACTACAGTAGCATAGCTATAGAAAATCACCCTTGTCTATAGGTAAATCATCGAACTAAATGGGCCATGGCTTTCATCTTCGCTATGTTAGTTGGTGCATCCTCATCATCCCAGAGAATATCCATATCTCAACCCACCATCCAATCCCAATTCCAACTTGTATCCAAAAAATGAAGCCTTCAAAAGAGGTTATCTATATACATATTGGTATCATTTGTGTAATTTTATGCGTTTCTGTATATCTACAGTCTATATAAATATATGTGTACATATATCCTACATTCTCCTACTATATCTACTAAAATCCCAATCATTGATGTCATGCAGTGGTTGGTGTCGCCTTCTCCACACAGCTGTGCTTCACCACTTCTCGCAGGACTCCACCGTCCCCTCCTCCGATTATGAGCCCCTGCCACTGGGGGATCTATGATGATCTATGCCCAACACAGCTTGGCATCTGGGATGGCATTAAAAGGAAAAAAAAAAATGGATCAAGCTGCAGCCCAAACACCAAGCCTGGGCGTGTCAGGTGCTAAGTACTTGTAGCTGCTAAGCTCCAGAAATTCAATTGGGCCCCCTTTTTATCGCCTTCAAAAACGGGGAAAAATAAGTGTTGGACCTGCGGGGTATCAACAGCTTGCCATGGCAATCGACTGATGCCGACTGCCTGCTTGGGATCGCAGGAGAACATTGGCAAATGTGCCAGCATCTCTTGGTATGACATCTCCTTAGGTGGCTAGCACTGAAAATAAACAAAATCTGCAGCTGGGGGGTATCCATGCGCACATCTGGAGAGGAACTAAGATTCGGGGCTAAAAGCTGAAGCGAGTGAACCGTTTAGCCATGGCGCTTGTCCCAGTGACCCCACCAAGATCACAGCAGGTTGCAAGCCCAGACAACCCCTGTCTTTAGAAAATCCATCAGTTCACCCTGGTAGTTTATGGATCCTGCCAGTTCTCAGACCAGCATCATCTCTCTCTGTGATCTGAATCACCCCGTCCTGAGAGAAACGATTTTAGGCCATGCCCTCGCCCTTGGAGGGTGCAAGCTGCGCAGCATGCCATGACGCTCCAAGGGAAGGTGGAAGCTGAGCTGCTGGCCAAAACAATGACATTGCCGTGATTTGTGGATGCCTCGGCCAAATATGACATGAAGCATGGCTGGAAAGGAGGCAATGCCCCTGTAGTGGATCTGTTCTGTTGCTTGACAGGGATTCCATCAACTGGTGGATAATCGGTTACCCCAATTCTTGCAGGACCATATATGGACAAACCCAACTGAGGTCCAAGCAAATACGAGCAAGTCTTGATACTTGGTCTTCTTGTGCAGGAGAACTTCCTTTACCTCAATTTTCAAGTCAAGATGATGGTGACCCAAGGACTCACAAAATCGACATAGGGATCAGGGGAAATGCGAGACCCTTGGCAGGATCAATAAATAACGACGACAGTTGTTCCTGTCTTATTCATGCCACATTACTATGGTCTCCAACTTTCTTTGAAGAGTTGAATTCCCACATTCACAGAATCCAAGACAATTTGTCCCCAGAAGTTGCTTCCACTGAACAGTTGTTAAGGGATGCTTTCGTTACACTGAGTCCTCTGGGGAAGCAATCTGCAAGTGAAAAAATCACCACCAATCAGATGATTTTCACCTGGAAAATAGGCGAACTCCATTTCTACATGAGTTTTCGGGGTCGTCAAATCTAGTTCACCACCTTCCCCCTGTTCCGGAATCCCACCTGCAAAGCGTTTGCCTGACCAGGCCTCAACAAGAGCACTGCAAGCATAGAATGGTCACAACACCGTAGCAATAGAATCAATGGAAGATCCATTTAATCCTGGTTTGTTAATAGGGATTCCCCTGTTGGATTATCATTATCCCCAATATATTGGCCAGTATAACCCCCTATAATCATCAACCAACATGGGTCCTCAAGGACTGCTCTGTCGGCGCACCATTGCGAGTTCTTCTCCAGGAACCAACCATTTTCAATCAGAGGGGCCTCAGCCACATCCAGACCAAACAATGGCACCAAGTGGTTTGTCTTGAAACTTGCATGGATCATTTATATATATATATATGTATATATATATATGTGTGTATATATATATATATGTATATATATGTGTGTGTGTAGATTATATATGCATGCATGCATGCATGCATGCATGCATGCATGCATGCATGTACATACGTACTTACGTACGTACCGTACCGTACCGTAACTTAACGTAACGTACGGTAACGTACCGTAACCTACCGTAACGTAACGTAACGTAACGTAACGTAACGTAACGTACGTACGCACGTACGTGTATGTATGTATGTATGTATGTATGTATGTATGTACGTATGTACGTATGTACGTATGTACGTATGTACGTATGTACGTATGTACGTATGTACGTATGTACGTATGTACGTATGTACGTATGAACGTATGTACGTATGTACGTATGTACGTATGTACGTATGTACGTATGTACGTATGTACGTATGTACGTATGTACGTATGTACGTATGTACGTATGTACGTATGTACGTATGTACGTATGTATGTATGTATGTATGCATGCATGCATGCATGTATGTATGTATGTATGCATATATGCATATATGTATATATGTATCTATATATATATATATATCATTTAAATCCCAATGAAGATACCAATGGATTATTATAATATTACTATATATTGCCATCAAATATGAATGTCCCATGGCCTATCATCATGATCCAATGATCCTCTTTAAACTGGCACTCCATTGGGTTTCTATCCATGGCAATACCAACTCTTCCATCACACATCACCTTCAGCATCCAGGAAACCCGGGCACCATTCAGTGGCTCCGCCATTGTAGATGCCAAATTTCACACACCGCAATAATAAATCCTCTAGTGCAACATGTTTAGGGATGTTTACAAATCAGGTTATCCGGTGATCATATTTGTAAATACCGTTATCATCCTTTATCTATGGGATATTATGGATATCTACCATTTGAATGGGGTTACAAAGCTGCTTCTTGAGTAAGGAAATCAGCTGCCTTGCATACTGTCATGAGTCGGTGTCCGTGCATCTTGTTGCTATCTTGAAGCAAATGCTTGAGAACTCAGGGAATGATCATGGTGTACACAATCCAGCTTCCGAATTTGAAATGTGGCATCCCATGGCATCCCAGATGATTGGTCAAGATCATCTCTCCTTGTCTGTTTCTGCTGTGCCTTGTTCCCAAAAATGGAGGTCAATGAGCGGAAACTGAGACGCTTGAAACCTTTGGCTTTCCTGGTCTCGGTGGTAACACAAACCGCCCACTAGCGAACTGGGAGCGACAAGTCGAGCTGGTAACCAGCGAAAATCCAGGGTGTATGCCACAAAAACCAGGAGGCTGTGATTTCTCCACGCTAAAATTAAAAACGCAGCATTGATCAAGATTGAGAAAAGGCTGGCAGGTTCCGTTTCCTCCCAAAATCAGAATGGACCAAAATGGCTAACTGTTAGGATAAGCCACCGTCAGTATCATTGAAAATGACAGCCCCAATCTTCGGGACAAAACAACTAATATACTTTCAACCCTGTGGTATTTGCCCAGCAGCAGGCTCCTTTGCAGTTACCCTTGGAATCTACATCGACTTGTCAGCGCTAAGGAATGGCAGCTGCGAGAATCAAGGTGCCAAAAAAAGAAACCAACGATGTTCCTTTCTTGGCTATTCTATACCACCCGACTCACAAACGGCACTGGTCATTGGATTTGGATCTGAGACTGTCAATGATTCACCCAGACTCGCATCGCCCAAGAAAGGCTCTTTCCTAATGGAACGAGCGGAGAATAGCTTCAAGTTTTTTCTGTAGCTACAGAGGAGGCATCATAGTCATCATCGTCATCCTTCACCTGAAAATGAAGCGTCATGACCGGAACATGGGCGTTGTGAAGGTCTCTTCACAGTATTCATCTGGGTGTCACAAGTCTGGTATACCCCGGAAAAATTGTTTTTTGAAGAAAAAAACGACGATCAACCGTGGAGTTCGCAAGTTCGGCCCTTTCCAAAATCTGGACCCTTGAAATTCATTGGTTCATCCAACCCTCTCTGCCCCACCTCCAATGAAACCAGCTGCGCCAAATTCATGCCCTGGAAAGTCAAACGACTGTGCACCTTCTTCGCATGAAGTTCTAAGTCCTGCTGACTATTGGAAAAGCTCCTTGGCGAAAAACAAGCTGGCGGCAAAGCCGGTTTGGTGGAAAGACCCTGTCACACACAAACGCACAAATACATAGATATATATATATACCATGTGTATATATATAATTAAATATAATATATATATATATACATACACATAAATATATATATACATATACGTATACATATACGTATACGTATACATATACATATACATTTACATTTACATATACATATACATATTCATGTAAGTATACATATACATATATATATACATACATATATATCTATGCATTGTTATTCACATATATATACATGTATATCTATAGATGTATGTGCTTGTGGTGGATACCTATATGTAAATCATATACGTCTCGACCATAAAAGCTATGTTCATCAGGTCCGAGCTACGCAGGCACAAACCTCACGGAGAGCTCTCTAAAGACTGCCTCGTCAGGAGCCACTTGGCGGACGGGGGGATGAACAATCCGCAGCTACCAGCTAATATGTAATGTAATTGTACATGTAATATATATATATATCACATAATGTTTTAATATATTCTATATCTAATATATCATATTTACATATATATTTATATATAATCATGCGTTATATATTACATATTAAATATCATATGTCATATATTATACAATAACTACTTAAATAGTAAATATTATGTACCAAATATTAGGTATCAAATATTATTATGTCTTATCTATATATATATACACATGAATTCAAATATTATATATTATAATATATTATACTATAATATATATTATATATATATACACTATATATTGCATATGATATATTGTATGTAGTATATCGTACACTAAATACAATATACTATTCATTATATATCTAAATATTATAAGCATATTTATTTTATGTTTTAAATTAAATACTATGCAATTTGCACTACATACTATATATGTTAGATGAAATATTAGTTTTTCATATATTGTATATATTATATGTTTATATGCTATATCTTCTATTTTAAACACTATATAATATTATATCTATATATTGTATATGATCTATTGTGTATTATACTATATATGTTGTTTATTACATAAAATATAAAATGGGTTTGTCCGAAAATCGCCCCTTAAGTCCAAGTAGTTCAATTCCAAATAACTGCGTGGTTGCAATGTGTGTCCTTACCTGCTTTGCGCCGCTGCGCCGCTGCGCCACTCCAGTTGGTATGTGCACACTGTGCTTGCTGTGGTACCTTGCTGCGCCGCTGCATGTGCTTGTGCGTCTCTGCGTTGGTTTGCGCCGCTGCTCTGCTGCGTAGTCATGTGCGCCGGTGCGCTGCTGCACCGTTCAGGTCGCTGTAAGGTTGTATAGGTGCAAGACTCGGTTGATTTTGCGCTGGTGCACTTCTGCGCCGATGCGCTGCTGCGCCGCTGCGCTATTGTTATAGTTTGCAAGTACACTTGTGCACCCGGTGCGCTGCTGCGCCGTTGCGTTGTTGTTAGGTTGCGTTTGCGCCGGCCACTGCTGCGCCGCTGCGCTGTTGATGCTGTTGTTAGGTTGCATTTTCGCCGGTGCGCTGCTGCGCTGCTGCCCTGTTGTTAGGTTGCATTTGCGCCGGTGCGCTGCTGCGCCGCCGCGCTGTTGGTAGGTTGGATTCGCGCCGATGCGCTGCAACCTTTCCAACCTACCAAACCTATCTAACCTACAAAACCTTTCTAACCTATCTAACGTATAAGAACCTATCTAATCGATCTAAACTACCTAATCTTATCTATCTCTCCTCTTCTATTCTCTTTATCTGTTATCCTCATCTATCTTATCTTTTCTATCTTATCTGATCTATCTAATGTTTATCTACCTAATTCTATCTACTATCTAATCTTATCTGTTATCTGATCTTATCTATACTATCTAGTCTTATCTATCATCCAACCTGTTCAAATATGCTCAAATCTTTTCATTTCATCTTATGCAGTCCTATCCGTGATCTTTTCTACCTTCTATTTCATTAAATTATCTGGTCTTTTCCATCATCTAGTCTTATCTATCACCCACTCTTATCTAAACTTATCTAAACTTATCACCTAGCCTTGTCATTGTATCTATTATCTTTTCTTGTTCCTGATCTATAATCTTACCCAGTACTATAATAGCTACTATCTTGCCAGCCTCTATCTAACATCTTGTGCAATATTGTGTCTAATATCGTATCTAACACCTTATCGAATTTCTTATCTAACACATTACCTACTATCCTCTCTAATATGTCGTATGTAATATCGCATCTACTATCTTATCTAATCTCTTAAATAATCTCTGCTCTATCGCTTATCCGAAACAGTTTCCACTCTCTAATCTAATATCTTGTCTGAAAATTACCTAACATAATATTATCCAATATCGTATCTAATAGCGTGTCCAATATGGCATCTAATATCTTATCTAATATCTTATCTAATCTCTTACCTAATATTGTGTCTAGTCTTTTTTGTAATATCCTTTCAACCTAATGCCTGATCTAACCTGATCTAATCTGGTCTTACGTGATCTAATCTGGTCTAATCTGATCTAATCTGATCTAATCAAATCTAATATATCTAATCTTCCCAATCTATCTAATCTACCTAACGCACTTAATCTAATCTAATCTACCCAATCTATCTTTTCTTGTCTGATCATCTAATGGACCTTATCTTATCTTACCTTATCTTATATGGTCTTATCTATCTAACCTTATCTTATCTAGTCTTTCTAATCTATCTAATCGATCTTTTCTTATCCAACCTACCTTATCTTATCTGACCTTACCTTTTCTATCTAATATATTTTTTCTTATCGAATCTATCTAATCTATCTGATATTATCTAGGCTATATTGTCTAATCTACCTAATCTTATCTATTTAATCTTAACTATTCAACCTTATCTATCTAATCTCAACTATCTAATCTTATCGATCTATCCTTATCCATCTATTCCTACTTATCCTCTCATCTTATCTATCATCTAGTCTTATCTATCACCTAGCCGTGTCTAATCTCATCTAAACTTATCTAAACTTATCGAATCTTATCTGTAATTGAATCTAATCCTGACTACTAACTTTTTGAATCTTATCTGATCTAATCTGATGCAATCTAATCTGATCTAACCTTATCTAAAACCGTCTCATCTTACCTATACTTTTTTGGGACCAGGCCCGATCTAATCTGATCTTATCTGTTCAAATTTGATCTAATCTAACCGAACCTCATGTAATCTAATCTGACCTCATCTATCTAATCTATCTAATCTACCCCATCTAATCTGGTCTACCTGGGTGACTCAAGATCTTTTCCCATGAATCATCCAATCATCTAATCTATCTCCTCCATCTACTCTTATCAAACCATATCTGATCCAATCTAATATCATATCTTATCTATATATTCTTCTCTAATCTTTTCTAATCTTCTCATCTTCTCCAATCTTCTCTCGTCTTGTCTTATCTGATCTAATCTATTTTAATCTGAGCAACAGGGCATCGGAGCATCGGAGCATCAGGGCAGAACTGCAGCTGCAGGATAGCAGCGCCAAAATGTGAGTGTTATCCGCATGAATATGAAAATACATGTGGACTTGCGAGGATATAGCACAAGCAGCGGAACGGAGCACCGGAGCGAAACACCGGAGCATCGGAGCAAGAACGTTTACCAGGACGCGGAACGGAGCGGAGAATCGGAGCGCAGGGTTGCGCAGTGGAGCGGAGTGGAACATCGGAGCATCGGAGCGCATGATTTCAGCACTAGTGCAGCATCAGAGCAGAACTGCAGCTGCAGGAGGGCAGTGCCAAAATGTGTATGATCCAAACGAACAGACTTGCAATAGGACATCGAAGCGGAGCACCGGAGCATCAGAGCAGGAACGTTTACCAGGACGCGCTCTGCACTCACTCTGAGATGCAGCTGACATCTCGTTCTTTTCGGAGAATCACAGCAGTTGGCATCACTTCCAAGCCTGCACCACGTGCAAATAGAGGACAGCATCAATCTGCAAAGGCGCTATGGCAATATGGAGCTCCTGCCGGAGCTGACAGGAAAATCTACAGGAAACCATGGTTTTTACTACTTGGGGGGTGGAGTTGAGGCCAGAAATAGCAAATAAGCATGGTTATAATATAAACCCCATTGCGGCGTATAAGTTGGGATATAAGCCCTACATAGCCCTACCACTGTTGTATATACACTTATAACTTATAACTGGAACGGCACTTCCAATTACGAAACATAGGGTTGTCCTGCAAATGTCCCTTCATCCAATTCTGGGAATGATGGAAATCGAAGACTCCCCAGCAACATCTAGAAACCTGCCTACATCGGCATCCTACACCAATTTACCTCATCATGGAAAGGCCGCCAACATCCATTTCGCTGGTTAATTTAAGCCCGGCCCACACCCAAATGGTTTTGTCTGACAAGAAGCTACACCCGTTGAAAAAAACATGGAAGATCATCAATTTCCCTACCAAACTTGTCATAACTCGGGGGATATGCTCTATTTTAAGACCCCCAAATCAAGTACCACAGCCACCACAGCTCGCACCTCCTTGGATGGGCTGTCGTGATTCTCCTCAGTAATGACCGGCACGATGCTGCACTGCTGCGAATGCACCTACGCACGGCTGCGAGGATGGCATTTCCGCTGTCATTGGGATTCCGCCAGCCCCTCCCCAAAGGGAACCCCCTAGTAATAAGTGTTTACCAATTTGGTGTATTAATGAAGACAAATAAAAGTGAAATCCCCATGATGATGGGAAGATGTTTCACAAATATTGGAGGGTCTCCAAGAGCAAACCTTGATTCGGCTTCTTCAGCGTCTTGATAGGGAGAATGGGCGGCAAGATCTTTGGAAGGGCTTCGAGACTTTGGGCATAAACTCAGACAAAAGGGCTCTGTTGTAATATTGATACTCCATGGCTAGCAATCTTGAAGTCCGATTGTGTTCAAAAGCTTGCTGAATCACTTGCTTCAGATCGCTGTGAACTCAAAGTGAGCTTGGGGAGTCGGCTTCTAAGGACACCCCCAAGTAGCTTCTTCTTGACCGGAACCTTCCCTTCTCCAAACCTGCTGGTTGTTGGCAACATGCCCACTTCGTGCATTCATCCATAATCCCCATTGAGATTCATGAACCGGCATAACCAAACCTAACAACTAACAATCCTGTAATATAAACACACATACATCACATCACATGGGCCCACTTCATATAACTATAACATCACTTTACTTTATATACTTTGCTTTACTTTACTTTACTTTACTTTACTTCGCTTCAGTGGGTGTAGCTCATTCCAACTGCTGTTACCCAAAACTGGCACCTGCAGAAGCCAATGTGCAAAACGTGGCGAGCCAAAGCAGCCTTTGGTGATGATCAAAACAGCCGTTCTCGCCCGCGTCACCTCGAGGGATCGCTGGTGCTAAAGCCCTGGAAAATTAAAGCACCGGATGGACAATCACTGGTGATTTACAGTAATACTACTATAATACTACCCGGCGTGTTGCCCAGACCCACAACTATGATGTTAGATGATGTTGGATGAGGATGAGGATGAGGATGAGGATGATGATGATGATGATGATGATAATGATGACGACGACGATGATGATGATGATGATATCGGGCACACACGGCGATATTAGCCCGTATGGTACTATATCTGCAGATCCTAACCCATATGATACTATATCTGCAGGTCCCACGATGGCTCAAAGGCCGCAAAGGGGCCATTGGAGGCTGTGTGGCTGTGGTGCCAAGGCGGGCTGTGTGACCGCGATCGCATCGCTTGGCAAGCAGCCAGTGCCCAGTACAACTTGCGAACCCAGTATAGGCTGGGTGCAGCAACCAAGAAATAGATCATAACATGTTAAGATATCTTCACGAGGGATTAAAATCCGCCACCCCCCTGAACAACATATTGAAATGGGTAATAACATGTAAGATATCTTCATACCCCCATGAGAGATTAAAATCCGCCAGCCCCTCTGAACAATATATTGAATTAGGTAATGACATAAACTTGATCGTCATGTCATCATGAGGGATGAAAATCCGCCACCCCCCCCGAACAATATATTGAAATAGGTAAGAACATGTAAGATATCTTCATATCATCATGAGGGATTAAATTCTGCCACCCCCTCTGAACAATATATTGAATTGGGTAACGCAGTGAAACTTGATCTTCATGTCATGTTGAGGGATTAAAACCTGCCACCCCCCCTGAACTATATATTGAAATATGTGATACCATGAAATTTATGATTTCAGTGAGGTAACATCAATGTATCTCAAATGTTGACTGACTGGGGCAAAAATAACAACTTCTTATGGGTACTAACGTGATCACCATCGTAACAAAAAAAGTTGCGACTAGCTGGCCACTACCTCACAGCACGCTGTGGCCCCTGCAGGCGTATTCAGTACGCAGCATGGTGGGAAAGTTTATCTCTTTGCGAACAGAGTCAAGTTGCTGCACCACGGATCGGCGCTTTGCAACACGTGGTCCGGGGTGCCGTGCTCGGGCATCTACTACGCCACCTAAGACACAACCTTCCGTGCCAGTGCCAACAGCGACACCCAGGAAGCGAGTCGATCGAAGCCGCTTTCGTTGATGAACGCTCCCCATGGGGAAGGCGAGTGACAAGGCAAAGCTACCCAATCGGAATGCTCGAAACGTGTCTGGTCAGTACAAGCTCAAGCCTTTGTGGAATGCTAAGTTCAAAAAAAGGGGCATCACCTATGCCAAACTGGCAAGACATGCCAAAGCAAACCTGCAACTGAAACGGTTGGAGCAGATTAGCTTCGAGGAAGTTTTGGGCTTTTCGCAGGTGCAAGCCAAGCAATACCTCACGGCAGCTGGTCTCTTCGGTAGCAGCGATTCGTGCTATTCCTGCTGGTGCTGCAAGTCAGAGATGCAGCCTACGAGTGACAAAAAGGTTCTACGCTGCAGCAATCCGAAGTGTTCAATGAGGCCTCGTCTACATCGCGCTAGTCTGGCGTGGACACCATTGTATGCACAGAGCATCTTGTCCGTGCTTGAAGGTACATCTTTGTTGCTACTTCCAATAAAATTCTTGATCGGCTACTTTGGCTGGGCTTTCGCAATTGCTATGCCATCACCTACAACACAATCCATTGATCTTCACACCTGTCTCCCGCTTTCTTGAAAGCGGTCTTACCAAGAAAGCCCATGCAACTTCGAAGAAGCAAACCAAAGGGAAGAAGGCTGCGGCATCCGAGTCCAGCAGGTACTTTCATGTTTGCGCTGGAGACAACAGTGCAGAGTCGACATTGGAAAACGTCAAAAATAGCGTGCGCCGGCTTGGCGCCGTCGGCCGTGGCAACGCCAAGAAGCCAAGCTTGAAGACGGTGCAGGCTTTGAGTTCGGCGGCTCTTCTGCGACAAGCAGGACTTGCCAAAGTCTTAGAGGCGCTCGCTGCCTACAGGGCAGCCTGCG